ATAGGCCAGAAATAGGGTAGGGCCAAGTGTACTCCCTTGCGGGACTCCATACGAACAATAAGCAGTATCACTGACGTTGTTATCTACACGAACTCTTTGATTTCTTCCTGAAAGATAACTTTCAAACCATTTGAGTTGTATACCTCTGATCCCCAGACTTTCAAGTCGTGCAAGAAGTACCGGTATACTAACGGTATCAAATGCTTTTTGCAGGTCTAAAAATACTCCTATGCATTTAGATCCACTGTCTAGATTAGAGCAGATCTTGTTAGTTAGATCCAGTACTGCATCGCTAGTAGATCTTTTAGCACGAAAACCATATTGATTTGAAGCTAGAAGTTTGTTGTTCTCTAAATATTTTATCAAGCGCTTGTTCACAATGTTTTCAACGATCTTAGATATAGAAGAGAGAAGTGAAATTGGTCTGTAGTTAGAGGGAACAGATTTATCACCTGACTTATGTATGGGACTATCGATAGCCGGCTTTAAACATTTTGGAAATACTCCTGTCTCCAAACTAAGATTACATAAAAAGGCTATTGGTTCAGATATAACGTCCTTTAATCTTTTGGCAGAATACGTTGAAATAATTTCACCCCCAGAAGCACAGTCTGGTCGAAAACCGTCAATGACTCGCCTAACCTCATCTGAATCAGTTAGCAAAAAAGACATCGAGTAACACGGGCCTTTTGTTCGTGCTAATTTCGCTAAGTCTGAGTCTGATTTATTAATCCTGTTTAATATGATTTCCGCTAACTTGCTTCCCACTGTTGTAAAGTAATCTTTCACAGCATTCAATGATTTTTTAGGGGTATCAGATATATTTAGTAATTCGGCAGCAGTTGTTTGACTTTGGTTTATGTGACACACTTCCTTTATTAGTTACCATGGTTGAGTTTTAACTTTTCTTGATAGTACTGTTTTCTTAGCGCTTTAATAATATTGTTGCATATATTTCTATATCTTGTATATTCTATTTTTAAGTGTGGGTCATCTAATTATTTTTTAAGGTTTTTTACGAAGTTTATCCCTTTTTCTAATTGCTTTTATGACACCGGGTGTAATCCACGGCTTCAGTGGTCTATTTCTATTTGATATTTTTATAGTTTTACTATTATTTTTTATTGTATCATGAAGCTTTTCAAAACTTGTTGCTAAATTGATATCTTTAAAATTAAATAATTTTATCCAACTATCTTGTTTAATGAGTTTTATTATTTTGTCATAGTCTACTATGCTTTTTTGGATTGTGGTTAACACAAAATAGCCATTAAAATAGAAGAACAAGAATGCACTTATTTTTATTTTCGTTATTGATTTTGTCACAACTCATCTGTAAGACTACTGGACAGTGGTCAGTAAACTGATCTAGTACATAGGTTTTTGCTAAATTTGTACTCTTCACCATAAAATGATCAAAACAAGTATTATACCTTGTCGGTAGATCTACACATTGCCGAAATCCATGTGTCGCAAATAAGTTGACATACTCCGTTGAGTACGTTGTCTCATGACCTGGTAGTATATCTATATTGCTATCACCAGTGAAAATTATATTAGGCTCTTTGCAACTAGTTAAAATGATATCTATGGTATCCAAATACTTTTCAGTATTATGAAAACAGGGGGGGTCTATATGAACACACTGTGGCTACACCACCAGTAAGACAGTAATAAGCAGAGGTCGGAATTAGGTAGAGTTATTTATGTACTTGCATCGAAATGTTGATATTAATGTGGACCTTCCCGGGATTTCTAATGGACAATCCCGTGTGGCCAACAATCTTACAACTAAATAATAATAACAACGTCAGAGATAGACAAATAAAACAAAGATAATTAACATAAAATTTTTATTAGTTTACATTAATTTACAATACAAATTATTGATAGTCTTAAGCAAATTCTCATACGCATATTTCGCCTTTTTATAAATACGAGCGAATACTTTTGCTTCTAGCCTAGACTCATGAGGTTTTGCCTATTCAAACGGCCCATCAGAATCATTTTCCTTGTCCGATTGATTACCAGTAAGATTTGAAGTGTTCGCTTCCGACATTACTGTATAACTTTTGTGAGAATTAAAATATATAATATATATTATTATTATTATTATTATTATTATTACAACAATAGACTACGCGGAACTAGCCACTGCGCAAGACAAAGACGCGACCAATGCACCCCTATTGAAGCAAGACAACATTCTACTAAAGAAAGTAAACGTTCCAAACACAGATGTCGATTTATATTGCGAGACTTCAACACTGTACGCCCGCCCGTATATACCCGAAAAATACCGCCTCGAAATATTTAACAACATTCACAACATCAGTCACCCGGGAATCCGTACAACTCGCAAACTTATAGCAAAAAAATATTTCTGGCCGTCAATGAATATTGACATTGGCGTATGGGCTAGAAACTGCATAAACTGCCAGAAAAGCAAAATTAATCGACACACTACTTCGAATATAGCAACCTTCCCGCCAGCCGACCGCTTCCAACACATACACGTAGACATCGTTGGACCACTACCTACAACTGCGACAGGTAAACGTTACATCACGATGATCGATCGACACACACGATGGCAGTGTTTGCATTGAAGCAATACCTATCGATGATATATCAGCTAATACTGTGGCTGACGTTATCTACAAACATTGAATTTCGCGTTTCGGATGTCCAACAATACTAACCAGCGACCAAGGTCGTCAATTCGAAAGCTTTCTTTTTACCAACTTAATGAAGATTATGGGAATAAAGAAAAATCGTACAACACCATATCATCCGCAATCCAACGGCATCGTCGAACGCTGGCATCGCACACTGAAGACCGCACTGCGTACTAAACTCAGCGACACAAGCTCTTGGATCGACGAACTACCAACCGTGTTACTTGGACTAAGAGTCGCTCTACGGAGCGACACCGGCGTCAGCGTAGCTGAATTAATTTATTGCTATAACTTACGGCTACCTGGCGATTTCTTTCAAAACAACTGCACCAACTCAACAGCTATGACCTATACTTATGTAGAAAAGTTACGGGAACACATAAACAATAACAAGCCACGTTTCACCACAACGTTCGTGCACCAAGATCTAAAAAATGCACGCACGTGTTTGTCAGAGTCGACGCAGTAAAAAAGCCACTTCAACAACCATATGAAGGTCCATATCGAGTTGTGGAGCGCACAGATAATAAATAATAATCAAAGCCGAACGAGTGCAACGAGCTATACTGAAAGTGATTTATCAGAAACGTGTGCGTTACTGTACCGATGATCTTTATAAGGAATCAGGAATGATGAGAGTTCGAATATTGTATATTATGGCCGTCATGCTTAAATTCCATAAAATTGTACATTTTACAACGTACAAGAGCCAACGATCACATAGGAAAATAAAATGGATTAAAGTCTCGTGTAAGCTAGCTTTTGGACAAAAGTCTTTTCTTTACATGTGTCCTCATATTTATAATAGACTTAATAATATATTGGAAGTTGTTCAGCTAACCAAACGTAAATGCAAATGCGTACTTAGTAAATGGTTACTAAATTTAGACTATTCACATACCGAGTATCTAATATCTATATAAGACAAGGTTCTTGAACCATAAAAACTTCCACACTCTAAAATACTTATAAAAATGCTACAACACAAACACACACACACACACACACACACACACACACACATACATCCCCCCCCCCCCAACAAACACACACACACAAGAATTAATTTTATTGGTAATGTTTATTTATTTCTCATATTAATTTTATAATAGAACGAACGAAAGAGACTGGATCCTACAACCCAGGGAATCCTAGTGTGGCAAACAGTGTTCAATTTATGATTGTAAATTCCATCTTTGGTGTTTTTTAAATAATAAAAAAAAACCATCCCGTCCGCTACGCTGGCGCCGGCGCCACCGATGCAGCCGTGAGCTGCACTTACGGCTTATTTAAAAAAACCTTAGTTCCCGAAATCAAACTAGATGTCGCTACGGTACTTTCTTGATTTCTCCATGACAATACTTTCGGATTTCTTTCATGTATAAAAGTAAATTAATTTTCAAAACTCAAGAAACAACTCATATTCTAATAGGGATGACGACTAATTTTTGTTTGTTTGTCCGTCAAGTAGAGTGTAAAAAAAAAATTAAACACGTATTTTTTCGTAATCATAAAATTACGGCGTTATATGGAGTTGAAATTTTGCATGACGTCACGTTATAGAACGTTTTCTACTAAACTGTGCGTAGCGAGCCCCCACTCCTCAACTTCGCTGCCTGTTATCTAAGCCATTTCATGTTAAATTGAAGTAAAAAAAAACGTATCTAATATTTTTCTATTATCTGACTGACGTACTAAATACTATTGCATTTTTTTTACCCAGTCGTCATACCTATTGTACTGTTTCGTATTTGTATTGATATCCAAGTTTCGAACTTTGCATATTTCAGTTTTTTAATATGTTAGTTAAAAAGAACGGAAATAACTATCTTTGGTCCATTCGTTTTCTGCAAAAATCTACTTTTGCAAGAGTCGCCGTCTAGTGACGTGCTTTTTGAGGGCTTTCTTTTTTTTAAATACTTCCTCATGAGGAGGTATTTAAAAAACATTAGTTCCCGAAATCAAACTATATGTCGCTACGGTACTTTCTTGATTTTTTGTCATGTACAAAAGTAAATTAGTTTTCAAAATTCAATTGACAGCTCAAATTCTATTTGCACTTTTTCGTATTTGTTTTGATATCTAAGTTTCAAAATTGGCAAAAATCTGTTTTTTAATATGTTGGTTAAAAGGAACGGAAATGACTATCATTGGTCCATTCGTTTCCTGCCAAAATAAATTTTTGCTAGGGTCGCCATGTAGTAAGGTGCTCTTTTAGTGCTTTCTTTTTTTTTAAATACTCCTCACTAGCTAATGTCGTAGAGTATTATTGTTCTGTGGCGTAATGAGAAGTAGCTCTTTGCCATAATCAAAATATTATTTAGTCTTTGATCGTACATGGGACCCAGTGTTGCCAATTTAGCGACTTTGTCGCTAGATCTAGCGACATTTCGTTTTAAACAGCGGCTCAAATTATGTGTCTAGCGACAAAAAAAAGCTAGCGACTATTTTAACGACTTCTAGAGTTTATATAAATCAGTAATTTAAATATTACAGACTCTTATCAGAGTAAGTAATATTTAAACAATTTCGGAACGCTGCCGTAAATTCTTATACTTAAGCCGAGATCCCCCAATGCTGTACTTGTGGACGTACAACGGGGAATTCGTTTGCCAAACGTACATCGCAGCTTCAGCCATCAACTTCGGGTATTAATTCCAATTCCAGAACGGATACATTAAGTATTCCAGATTATCTGATTATTATCGATAGTTCTGATAATGAATAAATAAACTTTTTAATCTTTTTTGGTATTAAGATTTTGACTTTTAAATTCTGATAAATATTTTATTTTTGTTATATTTCATTATAGTATTGAGTTGTTGATTTTTTATTTATCAAGTAATTGTTTTTTCGTAATTTTCAATTGTTTTTATACCGATTACAAATATTATTATAAGTAAAACAAATTATTTTCTTTTATACCAAAGGACCATAAAACCTTCTGCCGTTTGTAAAACGATACAGAATTAGAAGTACGTGACTAACTGTATTGCGCTGTTTTATCCGCACGCGCTCAGTCTTTTAGCGACTTCTAGCAACTTTTAATCTTTGTCCATAGCTAGCGACATCTAGCGACTTCTCAAACGCACGCTAACGACTTTTTGACATGTAGAGATGTAGAGTTGGCAGCGTTGCCAACTTAACGGATTTCCCGTCATATCTAACGGATTAGGATATGAAGAAACGGAATAAATCGTATTTTGACGGCTAACGGATTTACTAGCGAATTTAGTAGCAAAAGACTATTACAATATTTTTACGTTTTCTTGACTTTTTTTTACAAAAATCAATACAAATTTTAATTTCTAATATGGCAGCTCTTTTTAAACTAAAACGCAATGGGAAAACATGTTATACATATGAGTTACCAGACGAAATATTAAATTTAATTGGAACCAGTCAAAGTTATAGCCCACAGACTTAGTAGGTATGTTATAGCCTACCGTCGACTTCTAATGCATCCGAAATGACTGAGACCCCTAATAGTGACGACGAGTTTGAAAATATAGATTTTGATTATTTTTGAAAAATACATTTTGTACTTAAATTTTCATTAAACTTAAGTTATTTTTTATTACGTTTTTTATTTACCAACTGGTATTCTGACGGATTTTATTGACGGGAAAAATGCGTAGTATAACGGATTTTAACGGAATTTCGTAATGAAGTTAGCGGAATTTCTATATTATTGTTGGCAACACTGAGAGTTGGCAACGCTGATGGGACCGAAAGAAAATAATTTAATGCTCTTAAAGTTAAGAAGAAGAGTGTGTGACATTGTTGTGAAATAGAAATAAAAACAAAAGAAAATTATGTTTAAAATTTATTTCTTTAAATATTTTTAACTATATTGCAAAAATTTTAACTTAAGCTAAATACTGTTTTGCACATTTTTCTGGATATGGATGCTTGTACTTTGTGTTTAGAATTAGATATAACACTATCTAGTTTTGGTAACTCAGATGCATCTAAACACCTTCAAGACATATTGGCAAGTCACGGCTTTGAGGTAAGTCTGTCGTATATTAATTTTTTTTAAAATACAATAGAATAAGGTATCATTTGATAGGTATGTAAAATTGCAATTTCTTTTGTTATTCTTGCAATTGTTTCAACTGTTTTGTCGACATTAAGACCCATAGATTTTTTTTTTCACTTAACTGAATTTCTCCAGATAAAATCGTATATTACCATCCCAGTGCTACTGTTTATATGCACATTATAACTACTTACAGTTAGTGCCAACGAATTTGTATAATGTCGCCACGGAATAATACTATTGTTTCCTACGACGACGATAATAGAACCTTTTTAAATAGTTTTTGTATATGTTCTATATTTTCTATTGTATTTTGTTTTATTATTGTCATTATAGAAAAAATATTGATACCCATGGCTTTGTATTTTAGAATTATTATCAACTATAGTCGAGAACTCCTCTTAGGCTTTGAACACACTGTGGTATATATTTAATAAGCTAATAAATATGTCTAAATAAGCTTGAAATCAAAACTTACCTTAACTTATACTTTTTCATTGCAGCCCCCCAGAAGTGACAGTTTGATTTGTTTAATTTGCAAACATTTTCTTATTAAATACTTTTTATTTATAAAAAGAATATTAAGAGCCCAATCTACTTTGAAAAACCTTGAGAAGAAGAATGAGGTAATTTTTTTTATTGTAATTGTTGCATGCAAAGTTTTTATTGGTGTTTTTACCAAATATAATTTTAGAAATGTTGCATATTATCATTACCAGCCAATTCATCACCTCACACCTGGAGCACTTCCCTATGCATAGAACAGATTCAAACAGGAAGTATATAACAATAGATTGTATAAGACGGGTATTAACATAATAGATTTTGATAGTTAGGTATATTTCCTGACGTTTTGACCAGGGAAGAGGGAAACTATCACATTAGTACCTGTCTTATACAATCTTATATAATGCAATGCGAAAATTTCTTCTTCTTCTTTTTAATTATTGGCGTTTCCCTTTTGGATTTCGCCAGATGCGAAAGGTTAAAAGTTTATATGTATACAGTAAAACCTCGATAACTCAAACCTCGGTAACTTAAAAACCTCTATAACGTCAAAAAATAATATGTTCCCTTCCCAACAGAGCCCAAAACCTCAGTAACTTAAAATACGCAACCTCTGTAACTTAAATAAGTAATATCTGTATTAGCCCTCAGTAACTTAAAGAAATGCTTCCACAACGTCTATAACAAAATTGTTTGTCGATGACTCATTTTGAATGAGTGTGCATAATAAAGATTTCTGTATTTATTGCTTGCACGTGTTCACTAGTTAAATTTTTAACGTAAAAAATACATATGTCAACCATTGTTTGCTTCACTCGAAATTCTTTAAATCGATTTAGAAACTGTGAATTAGATAAAACAAAAAAATCACAGACTTTTTTAAGTAGGCTAAACCTTTAATTGTTGTTTTATTTTTATTTAACGTGTGCTATGAACCTGATGCATTCGAGTTAAAATAAGAACAAGGGTACATACATACATATGTACATACCTGCCTCTATATTAACCTATCCCTAACCCTTGATAACTTTAAACCTCTATAACTTAAAATATTTTGTTTTTCCCTTGGACTTTAACTTATCGAGGTTCTACTGTATAACAATAGGATTAAAATAATAATCAAAAGCCAATGAAAGTGATAAAAATATATTTAATTATATGTTATTTATTTGTGATGCAGTAAAATATTTTTAAAACTCTATTATGTTTATATTAATTTTTCAGATTAATTATGAAAGCTTGAAATCTTTAGATAGATCTAATTTAAATCTGAATTTGAATCTGAGTTCCCACAATATACTAAATTATTATTATGGTGATAAAATTGTTGGAAATGACAAATTTAAATGTAAAAGTAACCCAGAAACTGAAATCAGTGTGGCTGACTTGCAAAAATTCAAACGGGAATCAAAAATATACTATGAATTCGAAATTAACAAAACTAAAGATATCAAAGAAGAATCCCACAGTGATAATGAGATAGAAAACGTCCAAGAAGATAATAAATTCGATGTTGTTTTGCCACAAAAACAAACAAAGTCCAAAGCTAAAAGGTGTGCTTTTAAGTCAATGCCAGTGCAACTTATGCCTACTAAGTTAAGATCTAAACGAATAATGGCTCCTTATATTTCATTGTCTTATAATAAAAAGCCTAAAGATGAATTTGTAAATAAAAACGACTCTACTACAAAAAGGAGGAAATCAGATGAGGATTACATTCCAACGGAAACAGATACTGAGAGTGAAGAGAGTTCAGATACAGAGATATATTACGATGATAATGGAAAACGCATGAAGAAAGAAGACAATCGAAAATATCCCATGGAATGTCTAGAGGTAGGTTTTATTTAGTTATATTAAATTGGTCTGAACAAATTGAAACGCATACTTACTCTCAGAGCAGACTTAGGTACAGTCAATTCAACAAGTGTGATTCATTATCACAGCAATATACTATAAAGATTAGTAGTTCACAAATTTGTGTTTCAACTGTAATATCTAGTTCATGTGAAAACAGTATGGTATACTTACATTTACAATATAACAGACAAATGTGAATACATAAATAAAATAAAATTCATTATATATGCAATAAAAGAGGTTGCTATAAAGTGCATCTGGGTTATCATGTAGCAGTGCCATGGCCATCCATCTGAACAAAACGAACCAACACCATCTGTTAGCTGGACTGTTTGTTCTGTTGAGAGTTTATTTGTTAATTTAAGAAAGATAAAAGAAGAAGTAAAAATGTGACGTTATCACACCACTTTAAATGTGGTAGGGTGCTCAGTCGGTATGGACGCAGTTATCAGCATAGGAGTAGATAACCTATCAAGATTCACTGCTGGATTTGAAAGTAAATAAATTGCATATCACTATTTCAGAAAGAACTTTTGAGTGACACATTGATGATCAAACATCTATAAAAATATCTATTGTGTTCTAAATTGTATTACATTATACTAAAATTGATACTTTGTTTCAGTGTAACGCTGAAATTGAATCTGCGTTAGATCATTGGCAACATTATTTACGTTTTCATAGAGGCAAGAAGTATCCATATAGTAAAGAACATGTATTTGTGTGTAAATATTGTGGGGTAACTAAAACGGTAAGCATTAATGTATTAAAAATTTAAGGATATAACGTAGGTAAATACCTAATAAAAGTTAACCACAATTGAAGGCAATAAAATGTATATTTAGGGCAAACACAAAAATGTTTTTATAGATGTGAACAGTTAATTAGTACACTACATACATACATACATACAGCACACGTTTATAAGTTTTAAGTCTACTATTTGTTCCTATTGAGTTTGTTAATTGATTCTTTAACTATGCCAATTAAAAATCTTCGCCTGCCATACGTTCTGTAGTAGTGTAAAATTAACAAGCGCTTGAAAGATTCGTCAGTCCTGTTACGTCCTGGTTAGCTCAGTGGTTAGCTGGGTAGCAGTCGCGCGTATTGCGAAAGGTCATGGGTTCGAGTCCCATCTCAGGTGCCACGGACCAAGTGGATTTTATAAGCATTTTTCATTAAGAATGTTTTTCAGTATAGCATTGTGAATGCGAAATTGATGAAATATAATAATATTATTTTCAATTAAAATATTGCCGACCTGCTGGGCGCAACTTGATTCTTCCTCTCAATAAGGTATTTTCAACGCTTATTGTATTGAATGACATTAATAGTTTATCTACAAAACTCGATTATGTGTTCACTGTGGGAACGTAAATACATGCTCACCATAATAGGACCTACACAAGATCTAGGGTATGTCCTGAAGCAAATAATATAAATTCGCTATAATCCAGATGGGGAAAATCATGTCCACATTAGCTGTCATACTAATAATACAAACATGGAAGCCCTTCTATTAACAGTTTACATATCTTGATAGATTAGTTTATAAGGACATTCTCTCCCATAGCATTTAAGATTTGCTCAGCATCAAACATGCTTTAATATTAATACCATGCGTTAGTATCCTTGATCTTGATAGTCTGTGGCATATACCATATCATTTCAATAATTTGACAGCTGTCAGGCAAACGTCATAATCAAAGAGTTTCGCTTTGATGATATACATTTTTTAAATGTATTTATTCTTCAAGTACTCTTTTTTATTTAACTAAAACTTCAAATAAAATAATGCAACTATCAATGTTGTAAGATTAATTAATTTGGAACAAAAGAAAATAAAAGTTTTTTTTTTAAATGAGAAGCGACGACGCTTAGATTACTCATTGACCAGGAATCGGACCGGTTTTTAAATGTTTGTTTCTTATGGTTGCGTTCTGGTATTAAATGTTTTATTTTCTATAATAATATATTTTTTTTGTGATAGTTAAATATAAATAACTAAAAATGCAATTTTATGCGATATATTACTTCACTTTACTCTATGATTGCATATCTCGATGTTGACTGGTCAGAATTGAATGTCCTTTCAAGATTTGATTTTTAAACTCATCATCATCAGCACTGTTACTTCCCTACTGCAGGGGCCCAGGCCTTCCTTATGGATGGTTAAGAGGATGGACTATTATGCTCTATACTAGCTACGGATTGGAGGTTATTAGCAACTGCAAACAATTACAAAACTAATACTATAATAATAACAATTTTAACTATGTTTTTAAAATCAATTGTTGAAAATTGCCTTTTTTGGGGGGTTTGATACGCTGCTGTATGTACAAAAGAAATATTTTCCAGAGTGAAAGTCATCTGAAAAACCACGAGGCTACACACGGTCAAAGAAATATACAATGTGACAAATGCGATAAAAAATTCTTCAACAGAATACGCCTCAAAAGACATCAAATCACCCACAGCAAAGATTATACATACATATGCGATTACTGTAAAAAGGGCTTTCATTTCCGGTCCGACTTGATGCTACACATAAGGGTAAGTTTTGTTTATATACTTATCAACGACAGACAGATAAATATTTGTGTGTCACCACAGAAACATATTCATAATCATCACTGCTGAACATAGGCCTCCCCCAATACACTCCATGACTCCTGTTTTGGGTTATTCTTATCCAACTCCTACCAGCGATTTTTCAAATCACCGCTCCACCTTGCTGGAGGTCATCCTACACCACGCTTGGTGACTCGCGGCCAGCCCACTTCAGCTTACTTTATGCTATGTCGGTGACCTTAGTTCTTTGTCCAGCACGCGTAGCATGACGAACGCGAGAACTTTTTGTCTACATTCAAATGTCACTTTTCTCGGGTGCGCCCATACGATATCAGAATGTATGCATTAGATTTATTTTCAATCTTCGAAAATATGACCATGTGTCGTATTACCGTTCAAAGTTAAATTGGCTTCCTATTCGCCGACGCAGGGACTTGCATACTCTCACGGTTCTTTACTCTATACTTTTCCTCCCATCATCTCCACCATATCTTAAACAATCATTCTCTTTTCGCTCCTCTTCATCACAATGTACATTACGTTCCTCTTCAAACCTCACTCTCGAAATCCCTCGTCACTATACAGATTTCTATTCTTATTCTTTTGCTGTGCATGCTGTGCGTCTGTGGAATTCTCTTCCAGAGGGTATCAGGAGGGCTCGATCATTGGGATCCTTTAGCGATGAAGTTAGAAATTATTTCCTTTCCACATCTTAAAACTATTTTCATATTATTCTTTCACTATTAAACTGTTTAATTCATTTCATATGTATACATTTATTTTTTTGTTTATTATAATATATTAACGCTATTTATTTATTTATCCTTCTCTATATTGCACCCACTCCCCATAGTATCTTTACTTTTTATCCATTTTCACCTTAGGTTGCCTGGAAGAAATTGCTGTTTAGCAATAAGGCCGCCATTTGTTTACTCAATCTCTTAGATATTAAGCTTTTTTGTAAACTATGTATCATATTGAGTGCAATAAAGTATTTTATTATTATTATTATTATATCTCACTCTCAACCCGAGAAACTTGCAAATGAGTATAGACAAAGCGTTTGTCGAGTTTGTCATGCTACGCGTGCTGATAACCTCGTTACGAATTTTATCCTTTAGAGAAACTTCGAACATAGCACATTCCAAGCGACTTGTAACTGGTAAACCAGCCGTACTTGGAGTGTCCACGTTTGAGTATGAGATATATCATGAGATAGAACAGGTATAACCCCCGCAAATTGCTAATGCCCGTGACCGCCATTTTGATGACGTAATTGCGTTCAAAAATCAGTACCGTTAACAAATAAATACTGTTTGACGAGTACACTTATTGAGTTGGGTTGTGATGAGAGATGTTGGTTTAGATTGATACTGTTAAGTTATTTGTTATGGTTGACTAAAATAGCAACTGCAATTATTATGATTTTCATAATAAGTTTTTACACTTTCATTCCATTATTACTTTTGATTATTTAAAAAAAATGTCCTTTCCGTTTGTTATCGCGTTATTAGGAAAGTAAATATTTTATTCATATTTTTATTTTACATATACCTCAATATTTACATATAAATTCATTCTTTTCCAAAAATTCATGCAATAAATTAACAAATTCAAAGTTATTAAATTATTCCAACGATATTTATTCATACATATTTGAATAATTAATAAATAATTTATCTCATGTCTTTTATGCTATCTATACTTTCATATTCTCATATGACGTCACGTGGGTTTTATTTAGAGACGGTTACAGCGCGTTAGCAATGTACTGTACGAAAACTTTTCTCTTCAAACATTGTGATAGAGATTATGAGAAGACTCCACGTAGCCTACCAAACTCTGCCCAGTCCAGCACCATCCTCCTTTTAGCCTCCCTTTCGAAATTGTTTCGACCTATATGTAGAATCTGCACAAGATATATTGTATTCGGAAACAATGAGAGCTGACGCGTTTGAATTTGCCACTAGAGGTTTGAAATCAAATATCCCACTGTGAAATACACGCGTTTCTTTTCAAATATGCGAATTTTGCAATTATGACTTCTGGGCCAATGAATGTCAGTGCTTTAAAAAAGGATTTAAAAATTGTAACATTATTTTTTAATATGATGTATGATTCAAGTTCAATCTCGTAGTAAACAAATTTTGACAAAACCTCTCGAGACTGTCGCGCCATCTTGTGAGCGAAGAATCGGTAGCCCTCGTTTCGAGCTGGTGTTCATTAACAACAACAATTCTTGTATCTAAGAGGTTGTTGATCATTACTTTGTATGTTTACGTTATTTTTACGTTTTATCTAGTTTTATTTTGAGACCTATTCATTGTGAGGCTAATGCCAAACTGTCCAACGTCCGCTGCAGCTCGTTCAGCGATTCAATCATTAACACTCTTATGTCATCTGCAAATCGCAAGTGAGATGTAATCGCTGTATATGTTAATGCCCATTCCTTTCCAGTTTTAGGAAAAAAATAGTTACTTCATTTATTTCGAATGGTTAAAAAGAAACATTCTACAACCCTCTATCCACCCAAATCACAGAATCACAGTAATTTTGTAATATAAAAAGATAAATAGTTGTGGGTTTTAATATTTTGCCTAAAATGACTTGTTTAATTTTAAAGTTTGCATAACTTAAAAAAACTACTCTAGGTATTGCTGAAGTCGTGCACATAGTCAGTAAAAGGAACCTGTGCACGTCCATCAATAAAACATTTTGTCGTAACATGCACATACTTTGTCCAACGATATTAATATCAGTGCAATTTCAAACAAACACCTAGCCAGATTAGCCAAGATTTAGCCAGGGCTTGAAAACGGTTCAGAATAAACCGTTTCAATTGAGGTAAAACCTGTTTTCTTGTAATGTTCCGTTCCGGATCGGAACTAAATGCAGAGTGAAATTCGGATGGAATAAAGACCGGTTAATTCGCTTGGTTCCTAAAAAGCAATGTTCTTAAGTTTTTAATGCAAATTATATCATTTTTAAGCGACGATATTTATCTGTGTACGGATGTTATAGATATGAGTATAGGCACTTAAAAACCGCGCTGTAGTTTGTGAGATCATTGTCTGGAGTCATATTTAAACCGGTTAATGAAGAAAACCGTATTTCTAGTGAACCGGTTTAAAAACCTGTTCAAAGGAGCTTAACCTTTTGTGTAAAGTTCTGCATATACTTAGACATTACGGTTCAAAAAATAAACCGGTTTCCAAGCCCCGGATTTAGCATTATATATGTTCGTGTGATTACAAGAACTATTGATTGTATTAATTAATGTTGTATTTGTTTAATGACAGATCCACACCGGAGAGAAACCGTTCAAATGCCACATATGTGGCGCCGCCTTTGCTCATAAAGGAAATGTTGGCATCCACATTCGCACCAACCATCAGAACGACAAACAGAAATCGAAGAAAAAAATAAAAAATAACAGTATTAAGAAAAAGGCCAACAGGAAGAAGAAGCAAAAGGATCTCAACTAACTTCAATCGATTATTACACTTTTTTATATACCTGCCCACGTAGCATGCGGTCTCGAAAGCTCACAGCTCAATGACACTTTCTCCGAGTACGATATCTCACTCTCGAGCAGAGAAAACAGTGACATTTGCGTACAGGACCCGCATGTGATTTTTTTTTTAATTTTATTCAGATAAGGAATGTCAAATGTTTTTTTTAACTTTATCGTCTAATAAATATTTATAAGTAACAAAAGTTACATTTCTGTGTTTTTAATTATAAGCGAAGTTGCCATATTTTCAGTATCAAGTCCGTTTCACAATGGTTCATAAATAAACCGAACTGTACAACTGTTCATTTGGAACTGGTAGTGGCGACCCGAGACAAAATTTTCCACCAGCGAAGCATAGATTGTTTTATCAGTGAAATTCAACGAATACGTTATTTTTTTTTTATAATGAATGATATGTTCTCTAATCACTACATAGTATAAAAAAGTAGCTTTCTCTATCCCTATATTCTCTATGTATGCTTTAATTAATCTTTAAAACTACGCAACAAAATGATTCAAAAGGAAGGTTATTATCTATAATACAAGAGCACGTGAGCGAAGCCGATGGCGGAAAGCTAGTTATTTATATATTTAATCAAATATTTTGATTTTTGGAATTCGACTTATCGACATACATACAATTTTGTGAAAGTTAACATAATACAACCAAAACCATTGAATTAATATGTAACATTATAAAATAATCTTATTATTTAGGGCTAGGGTGCGACCGCCAATAGCCTAATATAAACATGTTTATGACTTGATCAATTCGTGGAGAGAATGAATGAAGTATACCGAACAATTTTTAATTTGGTCAGTATGCTTACACATCTTTCTCACGAAGTCAAGTTCAAGTTTATTTATTTATTTATTTTATTGCCTTCCACAATGTAGTATTAAGATGTTCATAAAAACAAAGTATGAAGTTTGTATAAAAGTTCTCCAAATTCTATTTTCGCAGGAACAGAGAAAGACTTTATAATGATTTATTTGTTCCCGCGCCGCAACTCAAAACGATTACGTAAATACGTACCTAGTGGAAAATAAATATTTAAATGTAAAATAAATATGTCACATAATTATAGAATTTAAATTGTAATATTGAAACGCTATTGGAATATTATAAAAATGAATTATCACATAAGTACCTATATTTTACAGAGCGTTTAGTGATCTTTCATATAGGCATTACGTTGGTTAGTGTTCAGTATGGAAGAGATCGCTGTTCTATTGCACATAGTGTATAGCTTACTTTGTTGTTTAATAAAGTGTATATATATATAAAAAATACAAAGACGACGCGCGGGTGTATCCTAATCAAGATAATCAAGAGCGGCAACGACAGCAGTGCAGCGTGAAAGAATAGTTATCTATGCGGTCGCTCCTCTAGTTCCGGTACTCTGACCTAAAAGTGGCAGCAGGACATACGGATTTTTACCATACTACTTTCTTCAGAGTACCTCTGACGTCGTGAATATTATCTTTACGGTACAGTAGATCGTATTTAATATTGAGCGTTGGATGAAGCGAAAGTAAGGTACCTACTCTAAAAATAATAGAACTTTCAAATGCTTTTAATTAAAACGTGTACGTTAGTTCGGCAGTGCCACCCTCTTCGATTTTGAAATGAATTCTTGTTCCGTCTAGGCCTTTATCAGTTCATTACTAAATAGGGACAAATAGCTAAATGTCGGAAATAAAAGAGTTTGTGGCGCTGCTGGGTTGACGTCCGTCTTTCAGCGCAGCGCCACATCTAGAACTTTTATTAAATTTCAAAACTTTCCAATTTCCTCATTTAACAAAAATTAAGGCATACAATTAGAGACAAGACTAAACATCACGATCCCACTGAAAGATAATAAAAAGAAAAGGAGAAGAGGAGGGCAGAGGCGCAGCAAAATAAAGTAAAACAATACTAAGTTGGAGCCCCAGAGATATAAAAAGAAGGAAAGAGGCAGTGGAGACGATAGGAAGACGAACTTGCAAAGATTGTCGGAGGTACATATAAAAGGGAAAGGTCACTCACTCACTCATCACAAAATCTCAGAAACTACAAGTGCAAGGAGTTTCAAAATATGCATGCGGGTTCTTTTTAGGACTTAGGTGCTCACTAAGACGGGATTTTATGAAATTTAATACCTAAGGGGATGAAAAATTGTATGAAATTTTATTACTACAAGTGCTAGGAGTTTCAAATTTGCTGACGGAAGGCTAATTACAGATTAATAGTGACATAAATAATCTACTAATGACTACAATTTCGCTGTTTGCTGTCTGTATAGAACTCCAGACGTTAAAAATTTTATGGATTTCATTACAAAGTTAGAGAGCCTCCTACAGCATTTTTTTGACAGAGAATGCATCATTTTCGGAGATTTCAATGTTAACTTTCTTGGGGAAAGTAGGCAGAAGAATGAATTGTTGAATCTTTTGAAATGTTATAACTTCAGGTTTCTAATAGAACATAATACGTTTATCCGGAATGATCATGAGTCTTGCATAGATAATATTATTACGAATTTTCACAGTTCTAAAATGCTTCATGGCCACGCGGGGCTTTTTTGTACACTTACCTTTAACAACAAGGGCTTAAAAGTACATAAAGAAGATTTTTATGTCAGTAAGCGCAGAATTTATTCAAAAACAAATAAAGAAAAATTTAGACAAAGACTTCATAGTGTTGATCTTAATAACTGTAATATAAATAGTTTTTTAAGCAAATTTCAAGGAATATTCGAAGAGTCGTTTACAAAAAAGAATGTAAAAATCAATGTATTGCAAAAAGAAAAACTTATTTGGATCACAAAAGGAATGAGGCAATCTAGCAAAATAGAAACTCCACAGCTTATTTATAAATACATACTATAATAATGTGATGCGAAAGTAACTTAAGCCAATTACAGAGTTACACAACTGATAAAAATAGCTAACTTTTTCGACTAATTACAAAAATGAAATCCAAATAAAAGATAATAAATACAAAAAACACACCCGCACAAGGAGACAGATTCACTCATTTAGTACTTCATTATATAAAATTTGAGGCAATATCAAGCACACGGTAATTTCTTATATGTTCTTATTTATGTTTATGTTTATATGTTTATAAATATATAGATACCACATACCGAAACTGACAAATACACGGACATATAACACAACGCAACCAACACATCACCACATCCATGCCACACATGAGTGCATTGATAATACACACACATGAACACACGAATGTGTACATTGTATAGCTGCGAGAATCAACATGCACATTGCACGTACAACGGGCACCGTGGAACACACCACAAATGCACAACATACACAGAGAATTTTAAGAGGTTGTATTAATTAATTGGATATACACACACCACAGTTAAATATTTGCTATAGAAAGAAATGCTATTATTCAGAAGTGTTTCCTGTATTAAACATATTTTTTAAATTTTTTTTAATTGAATATTTGCTGACGTTGAAGATATCTATATTCTGATATTTTTTATTATAGGTTCTCAGCAATCGGGTAATTGTAGCATTGCTTCCGTAATTAGTTTGATGTTTGGGTACATGGAACAACGGAGTGTGTCTTGTACGGGTCTTTGGAATGCAAAAACCAATAAGCTCTAGAAGACGGGAGCAATCAAGCTTGTTATGCAAAATATCATGGAGCAAGCACAAGTCGATCACATCACGACGACAATAGAGAGGAAGGAGATTGTAGTATTTACAATCCTCTTCATAAGTTTGACTACGCCTGCATGTCTTATAGTTAAGATGTCTCACGAACCTCTTTTGTATGGACTCCAACCTATTAATGTAAATGGAGTATTGGGGATTCCAGATCGGGCTGGCATATTCAAGAACACTTCGACAATATGCATAATATACTACCTTAAGACTCTTAACGTTTTTGAAGGGTTTACAGTTCCTCATCATCCAGCCTAAATTACGATATGCTTTATTGCTAATATGATCAACATGACTTGAAAGCAACATTTTAGAGTCGAAAAGAACTCCAAGATCTCTCACGTTTTCCGTTCTTTTGATAAGCATGCCATTAAAATTATAAGGATAACCAAAACTCTGCTTCTTGCGACTAAAACTGATACATTGGCACTTACTTATATTTATGGTGATGTTGTTATTCTTATAGTATTCGTATAAGCGGTTTAGGTCACGTTGAATAATTTCACAGTCCGAAGCCGATGCTACTTTCAAGTATATTTTTTTATCATCAGCATAAAGAAGATGCTCTGAACCCTGGAAACATTGATGAATATCATGAATATAAGCACAGTAAAGTAACGGACCCAAATGGGATCCTTGAGGAACTCCAGAAGTGATTCTAATGAAGTCCGATCTGAAACCACCCATTACCACAGCTTGCGATCGATTATTGAGATAGGAAGTGATCCATCTCAACAAGTCTCCCCTAATACCAAGACTAAAAAGTTTGTTGAGTAGGATGATGTGATCCACACGATCAAAAGCTTTTTCAAAATCTGTGTAGATCACATCAACCTGACCACAGTCTTCCATCCCACACAGGACGTAATTACTAAATTCAGCAAGATTTGAAATCGTTGATTTATGTTTAAGAAAACCATGTTGATGGTGTGATATACCTTGAACAATTGCGGGGTAAATAGAGTCATATATGATTATTTCAAATATTTTACTCAAGGTATTCAAGATTGAGATAGGACGATAGTTACATATATTTTGTTTAGACCCCTTTTTGTGCACAGGAATAATATGAGCCTTTTTCCAAGTATCAGGGTAAACACACTGCTTCAGAGACAGCTCAAATAGCAAAGATATGGGATGAGCCAAAGATTTGGCACAACCTCTAAGAAACAAAGGAGGCACACCGTCGAATCCAGATCCTTTATTAACATTAAGTGCTCTAAGTAACCCTTCCACTCTCTCTTTTGTCACGGTGAGTCGCGTCAAAATGTCCGCGCAATTGTCATCTTTAACAAACCGATCACTGTCATTATGCGCAACTGTCTGAGTAAACATACTTTGAAAATAATCGTTAAAGTTGGAACATATGGCGGGGCCTTCTGTCAATATTAAGTTTCGATAAGTAAAATGGTTGGGATAGTGGGAGCCACCACGCTTGGATTTTATGTATGACCAGAAAACTTTAGAATTAATACAAAGTTTTTGTTCAACGCTAATTATATATTTATTGTGACAGTGTTTTTTCAATGTATGCTCCCTCTTTCGCAACATAGAAAAGGTATCATAATCGCGAGGATTACCGTAGAGCTTAAATTTTTTGTGAAATTTGCTTTTCTCGCGTATCACTTTTATTAGAGCCATGCTATACCAGACTGGATACTTCCTCTTAGTGTTGCTGACATTTATAAGGGGAATATATTTGTTAAAACAATCATTTAGAATGTTGTAAAATTTCTTCAGAGCTTCATCCACAGGTATATCACTAAGTAGCGTATCCCAGTCAAATCCACAAAGAAACTCGTCAATGATGTCGTAATTACATTTATGAAAGTTTCGTCGGGAAACATTTAATTCACGCAATGGCTTGGTAAACAAATCCGTTATGGTTATAAGGAGTGACGGATGGTGAGCGTCTTCTTTTATAACAGGCGAGAGAGCTTTAGTCACCATAGAATCAAGGTTACTGAATACTAGATCAAGTGTGCGTTCATTATTATTAACAACTCGATTATATTGACTTAAACCTGCATATGCTAAATTTTGTATAAACGCTTGAGAGGCATTTTGCATGTTCAATGATATGTTATGAAGCAGTTCGTAACTGTCATCCGTCCATCGTAGGCATCTGAGATTAAAATCACCTATTAAAAGGTATATATCATTTGGTGACCGTACAATCAAACTGCTGATGAATAAATTAAGCTCCTGTAATTGTGCAGGGATAATAGCATAATCAGGGGTAAGGTAGACAAGTATAATATTTAAGTTGTATTTCTTATTAATATTTTTTGCTGGTATTGATATATATAGCAACTCTGTATTAAACTTAGTTGAGAAGCTATAATTCTGATATGCACCCAATGTACCCCGCACAAAAGCCATGACTCCTCCGCCAGTACTTTTTCTACTATTCTGTAAGTCACGATCCACACGGAAGACATCGTACCTACCGTCACACAACTCAGAACTAAAAATGTCATCCTGAAGCCATGTTTCCGTAAATAGAAATACGTCAAGATTACTACCACTTACATTATAGAAAAGTTCTAGACATTTTGTTCTAAGCCCGCGTACGTTTTGGTAGTACATTTCCAATTGATTCATTTTATCATACATTTTTTGTCATAACTTGATAGGACACCATTATTACTTATCGAAAATGAGAATGTATCGGCATCCGGTCCCGAAATTGGGGCGGAGCAAGTGTAAGTGTAGTACATAGATTTTAAATTACGTCGAACATGCAATGAATATTTACCTCTCATGCATATAATGCGAACAAGATTTATATACAATTCCATGCTTTGTTTTGATTGTAATACAATAGAATTAAATAAAATAATATTGTCATTATTTCGTTTATTGCCAATTATGAAATAAAAGTGGTTCATAAGAATACATGAGATTTCATTATTTGTTAAACGCAACCATTCCATCGATGTAGTACACAATTCACAAGTACAATAACAAACATTCCCGCCGCACACACAGCAATGCGTCAAGTCACAGAAATATGTCAAACTTTTGTAGTTATTCCTGAGCTGTACCTCTAATACATTAAGGTTTAATATAAAACGAAGAAGATCGGTAGCCTCGCATAACCTGACATGTCGCTGATTGTATTCTGTCATTGCCACATCCCTGTCAATTTCATAATTAAAGACGAAATTTCGATACCAAAACCGCAACACTGTCATTATTATACATGCAGATACCGGTTTGTACTTACAGAAGGACAATTGAATTATACTTATTGCTATATTGTTATATTTAGTATTGATCTCTAAGGATTGGTTAGTGATTAGTTTTTTTATCATATAATATTGCTTAAAATGTGGGTAGATTACAATGGCATAAAAATAAATACGACCATCATGCCTTTTCATATTTATCCTTATATTTGATAACAAAACAAACAAGAATTGAGTGACATTTGTTAACCTTTTACTTGAATGTCTGTGTCCCACACACCAGTATAATTCGGTACATAACACTTTATTCATAATACTTATCAGAAAATGCAATAAAAGTACAAACATTAAGTACATTGATAAACCCGTTGGATCTTGATGCATACATTCATCTTTTTTTAATATAAATATATATTTCCTATGACCAATATAACTTAACATTGAACAATAATTACATGCATATTTACGTGAAGTATCTATTAAAACATTACATAAAATGAACATACAATAGGTTAAACCTATCTTTTTACCTGTTTGGGTGTATGTCTTATAACGATGCAAATTATCAAACAAAAATATTTTAAATATGAGATTTAGTAAACAAATTAGAGAAAATATACTTAAAAGATTATATCCATTCTCATGCTTATAAGTAGTCACAACCGAGAACTTTTTTTTGATGTCGCTATAGTTTATCGAGCGTAGAAGAATTTTTGATAAAAATTGTTTCACTGGTTTCATTTTTTCTCATATAAACCCGACCACCACGAACCCAAACAAATTTGAAGTTAAGTTGTTTGCCTCGTTGACGCGCTGCGGCATGTAATAATTTATTTTCTGGTGACAGATTTTCTAAAACAAACACAGGCGACTTCTTCTCATTCTCTAATCCAAAATCGTGGGTATTTAACTTGTCCTGAGGATGCTCTTTATTATGACGAGTGACTGCAGATAGAATCGAATCTCTTAAACGTGGTGTATTAAATTTTACTGCAATAGTACGCGGTCTCTCACTGTTTGGTTTTAATTTTGCCACACGAGAACAGTACATTATATCCTGATCGGTAATATTAAACTTTATTGCACGACCCAAATATTTAACTAGTTGCACAACGTTTTCTCCTTTTTTTTCAGGAACACATTGTATTTCTAGTGCCGAGGATCGGGATAGCTGGTCTAACTGGTTCATTCTACTTTTTAAAGTGTCTATTTCGACACGCAAGTTTATATTTTCAGTTTTTAAAACTACAATTTCTTTTTCTTGTTGGGTGAATCCCTCCGACATCTTGTCAAACTTATCGCTCATGAACTGAATAGATGTTTTAAAGTTGGAGATTTGTTCAGCGAATTTATTGAAAGTTGTATTTATCTCCACGTTCAAAGATTTTACTGTCATCGCCATTTCTTCCCTTATTATGTCGCGTAACTCCGAGCCACGTACATTGTCATTATTAACATTGGTATCCAATTTATTAGGTGCCTTGCGCCGAGTTACATTTAGAGAAACTTCTGCCATCGTTGTAGGTGTTCACGTTAGAATGATCAAGATCACGATTCCTTTTTTATAATAGCACAATAATTGTTAGCTTGTTGATCCGGAATAACTATAGTTCCGATTGCTACGGAGCGAGCGGCACACGTCCAACCTCGCCAACGGTCGCACACAAAATGGATAATCGGATTGTAAATGACCCTAAATGTATAGTAAATATTTGCAGTGACATATATGATAGAAGCAATAATAATACAACTTTTGATAAAAGTAATGATACCTATCGGACAACTCTGAATTATCTAATTCAGAGCTCTCCAAAGATTTCACAAGATATGAAAATGAAACTCACTAATAATGTAGAAGTAAAAAATATTATAAATCACATGCAATCAAAGCTTTGTTATGGCTATGATGGAGTACCGATCACTATAATAAAAGAAAATATAGATTGTCTGGCTCAGCCTTTGGCTGCCTTCTTTAATAACTGTATTGAGCTTGGTATATTTCCTGAACAACTAAAAATTGCTAGGGTTACACCGGTCTTCAAAAGGGGATCTGGGACGGATCCAAACAACTATAGGCCTATATCTCTGCTTCCAGTGGTGTCTAAAATATTCGAAAAAATTATTGAATCTAGACTCACACTACATCTTAGCCGGCACAAGGTTTTAAATAAGCGACAATTTGGATATCAGAGATCTATTGGTACTGTGGACGCCATTGATATGTTATTATTCGAGGTGTTATCGAAACTTAATACTAAAATCAAGGTAGCTGGATTGTTTCTGGATTTGACGGCTGCATTTGATATGGTAGATCATGGTTTATTGTTGGCAAAGTTGGAGCATTATGGCGTGAGAGGTAATGTTTTGAAATTGTTTCGATCATATCTAGAAAATAGTCAGCAGTACGTAGAAATCAGGTCTGTAGCGCAATGTAAAGAAATAGTGACAAAATCTAGGATGGTTGGTGTGAGGCGTGGCGTTCCGCAGGGCTCAAATTTGGGACCATTGTTGTTCGTCATTTTCGTTAATGATCTTATAAATCTTTTATCTGATTTCCCTAATGTAGCTGTGGTTGCGTATGCAGATGATATAAATGCCATAATAACTGCCCCGAACTTGGAAGACCTTTCCACCAATATTAATAATGCGCTTCCGGTTTTTAGTAAATGGTTCTCTTGTAATAATCTCTTACTCAATACTAAAAAGACCAATCTTGTTTTGTTTAAGCCCACTACTAAAAAACAAGATACTATCAATGCTGAATGTAATGGTCAGTTGGTAGAGGCAACTTCTTGCATAAAATTCTTGGGTATATATATTGATGAATGTCTTAACTGGAAACAAGAGATTGGTGCAATGGAGGATTATATAAGCTCTGCCTGTTATGCGTTGAGAAGTTTGAGAGACTTGATTGATGTGGGCCAATTGAAGTCTGTATATTATGCTCTCGTTGAGTCGAAATTGAGGTATAGCGTAAAGTTTTGGGGAAACAGCTATTCTTATAATATGAAAAATGCATTTGTACTGCAGAAAAGGGCAATACGAACTATGGTGCGCATACCGCCATGGGAGTCTTGTAGGGAACATTTTAGAGACCTTAGTATACTTACTCTCCCTAGTCTTTATATATTGGTTGTCGTAATGGATATTTTGAAGCATAATTATAAATACGAAACGGCAACATCTAGGGAGATGAGATTATGTAGTAGAAGAAAAGACATACAAATTTCGCTTCACCCAAAATTAAATATTGTAAAACATTGTAGTCGATATCAGGCAGTCAAACTTTTTAACGCCCTGCCGACGGAGTTAAAAGCTATCGAAAGTCCTAATAAATTTAAAACTAAATTGAGGCAACTTCTGTTAGACGGTTCTTTCTATACGCTGGAGGAGTTCTATAGTGGTCAGTGCATCTTACCCAACGGATAATTAATAAAAACTACCATAATGTTTAAGTGTCTGCATGATTTTTATGTAATTTTATTTTGATTTGTTCTTGTACCATTCAAATACAATTGTAAAAAATTGTTAATGCTGTAATATATAATTTAACCGACTAAATAAGAAAATACAAATTTATGAATGAATTTGTAATTATCAATAGTCTATTTTACATGTCGCTTCTCTGAATAAAGGCTTATTATTATAAATATTGTATTAGTCATTGCAAACTACAGCAATCATTTAAAACAATTTTTGAAAAGTCGTATTGAATAAATGAGTAGTGCTTAATATATATATATATACTATAATCCTTTTTATTTACACATGTAAGAATTTGAGCCGCTGTTTTCGTAATACTGACAGTAGTATTTCTTGAGTTTCTAAAGCTACTGGTATAGGCAAAGTTCGTAGCTGTTGTGCAATATTTCTTCCAAATGTATCAAACTCATCACTATCACTGACAGTCTGTAAAGTTGGTTGCCGTGTCTCTAATAGTGGACTGTCACTGTCCAGTAACTTTATGAATGTCACATTATTTGAAGCCTTCTCTGATTCCTGCCAAGTGTTGTCATCTGTGTCGCAACTGTTTTCATTATGTCTTACATTAGCTTCTGTTTCTACATCAGATACACATACATCCTGAAAGCATGAATTTTCATTAATTAAATTGTTATATTTAAGATAATGTAATATAAGCACATTTATGTTTTAACCAAATATAATGCTCATTAATTTGTCACTGAACTTGTGAAATTTATAATTACATTTAAATCTGATTCTTCTTCCAATTGATTTTGATTTTTGCGTAATACTTGTAACATTCGTAGTTCAATTTCATTGAAGTCATCAGCGCAATAAATTATTGGTCTAGTACCATCACTACTTTTATGCCATTTAACCTTTTTTCTTTTTAGCTTTGCTTTTATATTACATAAATACTGAAATAAATAATTATTATAATTATAACAAAATATTTATTATATTTGATCAAATTTGCATTCACAAAGCTATACTGAAAATCAAATTTATTTTTTATACAAACAACGTTATGGTGATTAATTAATGAAATGCTTTATTTATATATTATTTACATTATTTGATTAATTTTCAACAGATATTTTCAAATCACAATATATGTTATTTAAAAAAAATTTAGGAATTTATAAGTGACATTACCTTGGCCCACGCCTTATGATCTCTACCTCCTCCAAGGGAGTTGAGTTGTGGTGTAATTTCCCTCCATTTAGACCGGACAGCTTCAATGCATTTTGACGTTTTCTTATAGCCTGCAATAACTTCTGGATTTTCTTCAAAAAATGAACACAGAACATCAGTTTGCGCAGCTGTCACCGACCAACCGCTACCTGATCAATAAATCAAATAATTGATTTCCTATTAATATAGCCCATTACACATCTTAGTCAATAGATATTAAAACCGACTTATTCCACCATATTCTGATGGTGGAATGAGTTACCATGCAAATAATATTTATCTACTTACATTAACAATTTTAAATCTTTACTTTGTAAATAAATATTATTCACTATAGAATAATAAGTTTAGGAAACAATTGTTTGCAATTGTTTCATCTAGAAATCTTAGTCTTTAAAATAAGATTATTTATTATAAATTGGAGAAATAGCTATGCGCTGTTCTGAGTCAAAGCTAGTTTTGACTATCTTCAACTTTGTGCAAAAACAAAAAAGATGTAAATTGTGCTGTTAAAAAGGTAATGTTAATTACACATTACCTTTTGCCACCATTTCCGTGAATTTTGATAGCAAATTAATTTGTTTTTAACTTTGTTTGTCTAAAATTCATCGTCTGTCTCCCTGGCTCACCGAAAATATAAAAATTAGTTATTAGCCTAAATGACAAACAAAGATAAAAATAATACAGTACAATAATAAAACCAGGAAGCTATATAAATCGGTTAAATTTCTCCACTTTAAACCTTATGTTTTTTAAGATAGAGTTTAAAATTAACTGGAGAAATTTGACATAATGGCGCAACCTGACTTGCAGGCTGCAAGTTGCAGCAGACGTGTGTACGTTTTTACTGAATCGACGAGTATATTGTTCTGTGATCGACTCAGTGAGTCGGATCAGCAAAATCTCAAAGTTTGCTCTTAATGATATATCAGTGGTGCTCACTGACACGAATAAATGAACTGAGCAGAACTGCAGAGCGATTCCGTAAATATCCGAATCATGTCATTTAGTGTAAAAATTATATTGATTCCATTTTTTTGTATAAAAATACAAAACAATATTGATTGATTATATTTTATTTCAAAACTCACTTCGCTTCGCTTATATCATGAAACTTTAATAAGTATTTAAAAAAAAACATTAGTTCCCGAAATCATACTAGATGTCGCTACGATACGTTTTAGATTTCTCCATGACAACCCTTCCGGTTTTCTTTCATGTTTAAAAGTAATTAGTTTTCAAAAGTCAATAAACAACTCATATTCTATTTGAACTTTATCGTATTTGTATTGATATCTAGGTTTCGAACTTTTCAAATTTCAGTTTTTTAATATTTTAGTTAAAAGGCTGCAAAAATCAACTTTTGCTAGAGTCGCAATCTAGTGGAGGTGCTTCTTAAGTGCTTTTGTTTTTTTAAATACTTTCTCATTATCGGATATGTGAGTGAATTCGAATTCCGGTTCGGAACTTTACAGAATCGAAGGCTGAGCGACTGTTCGGAAAGATTTGGGCGAAATCGAATCGGGTGTCGGTAATACTAACAAATGAGCGCACTTGTCGGCTTTATTTATTACTTTTACTCGGTTTTTGTTTTGGAATCATGTATTATGATCAAGGTTTAGAATGAAAAAATAGATTTTGTCATTAAATCACAGAAAACCGACGTGAAGCAACGCTTGCGTTGTGTTTCGTCGTGTGAGTGAGGGTACCGGAGGCCCAACCCTCCCTATTCCCTTCCCTCTACCCCTCAACCCTTCCCTCCAAGGTCGGCAGCGCGCTTGTAGCCCCTCTGGTGTTGCAGGTGTCCATGGGCGACGGTAATCACTTACCATCAGGTGATCCGTCTGCTCGTCTGCCCCCCATCCCATAAAACAAAAATTAGTAATTTGCATTAAGTGTGTGTCCCGTCCATGTATGGGAAAAAAATAATTTCTAGATACGTTCACGCAAGAGATGTCAAAAGTTGAGTGTTGACACATATACGTATTACGATTATCTTAAAAATTAATTAGATATATGTCATCTTAGGGCCTCTACTAGTCCTTAAAGTTTCAGATTTTCCCTTTTTTAGGGGTTCCTAACATAAACTTTAAACGAATCAAAAATAAAGTTTAAATAGTTTTTATTTATATTATGTGTCAAAGCAAGGTTGAAAATAGCATAAAGTATATATCAATCGATAGAGGATAAATAAACTTTACACATCATCATATTATTTTATTTTTAGGCGTCGCCTATTTTAGAATAAATATATATTTATTTTAGATTTAGATTTGAACATCATTTGTGCTACATAAACACACACTTCATAAGCACATTAAGGAAATCATGGCAGCCCCATCCCTAAGTTACGTTCCAATCCATGCTATGAAATAATCTATTTAGACAATGTGGAATCATTATTATTATTATTTCAGACATTTAAATGTCAAATACAAAGATATTTTAAACGAATCCAATTGTTTTATCTTAATTCTCTAAAACGGGGGTACTTTCAGGCCTGCAACTTTGATGAAAGTGCTATGATAATTTTCTTTATAGTGGTTAGATTTTTCAGAATAAAGTACAAAAAAAAAATCTCCATTTTCCGTTTAACTGTGTTAAACAACAACAGCAGACTATACAAAACTATCTTTGTTGAATCGTATGTGTAAAGGCTACCAACGCGATATTGGCAGAATTGTTTGAACATACAAAATGATGAGAAAAAGGATTGTTTTCTTTTAATTTATTTGAGGCTTTTTCCTTTAAAGTTATTGCCTTTTTCAAATACCGAGATGTTTGGAAGGTGCGGTGAGGTATGCAGAGCATGTTTAACGACGAATGAATATTTTACATATAAGTTAGGTAAAAACGTTTCGACAGATTTGTACTTATATTGCACAACAATAGAGGTAATCAAACTATGAGTTATTTAATTACATAAGTACTGGAAATAATTAAAAAAATAACCATCGTAAATTTAAATCAGGTACGCCGAGATGACTTGCCGAAAACGCTGTGCGATTCATGCTACGAGAATCTTACAAAATATTCTGAATTCAAAAGAAATTGCATTAACTCACAATATGCCTTAACTAATATAAATGAATCTCGACTAGATGATGCTACTAATACATCCGTTGTAGATGCACTTGATTATCATAAGACCATTTCACTCTTTAATTCAGTCAATGTAAAGACTGAAAATGTCACTGATGGTATTGAACACATTCTTAAAATAAAATCAGAGGACATAACTGATCATTTTGAAAATGGTAAGTTGCTGATAAAATAACAATTATATGTAATTAATTAAAAGTAATTGTTTTTTATGACTTTTTTTATTGATTTCAGATTTGTATGAACCATTGAATATAAATGAAAATAATTATAGTACAAATAAGAATGAAATGAAGAAGAGGTTTGTGTATATGTAACAGTTTAATTTTATAAGTGTATTTTTTGCAAATAAAATGGTATGAATAAATTATTATTTAATCATTCAGGAAAATAAGAAAGTTAGATAAACGAAAACTTCACCAAAAGACAAAGCTTAAAATTACCCGGAAACATTTGAGTTTTACCTGTAAAATATGCAATAAAAAGTTTAATTATTTGGAGAGATTTGAAGCCCATAAACTGGAACATGAAGGTAAAGAGGTAAGTTGGACAATCATCATTGTTTGGATTACAATCGTAATTGAGATTGATAAAGGTTATTTGAAATACTTACCTGATCCAATTTTATCCTAAACATTTCTTACTTAGGTTGTGATTAGCTGTGCACCGTGTAATAAGAACTTTATGACTTGGAGTGGCCTACGACGCCATAATGATAGCGAACACACTTTAGTACGCATGGACAAACATAAATGCAACATTTGTGGAAAGATTTGCAAAAATCAACAGACACTAAAAATGCATCATAAAACACATGGAGAAAGAAAGTTATATGTTTGTGATCTCTGTGGAAAAGGATTCACAACAAAATTCATTTTAAAGGCAAGATTATTCATATTCTATAAAATGTCGAAAGCAATTCAGTTATCTATACATGTCATATGCAAATGTAAAATTAACTAATCCTGACTTTAAGTATATTATATTATTTCAGGCTCATATAGAAACTCACAAGGAAAATAGAGACCGACCATTCACTTGTGAGCATTGTGGAAAGAAATTTTATACCAACACTATACTGCTATCTCATGTTTCTAGACGTCATACAAATCGAAGATTTATTTGCCAAACATGCAACTATCCATTCACAGATAAATACAATTTAGCAAAACATTTACTGATACATGATGGAAAGAAATTGTTCACATGTGAAATATGCAACAAATCATACACTACACGGTCCTCTCTAGTGGAACACAGGAGGATACATTCCGGTGAGCGTCCATATATTTGTAACTACTGTCCAAAGAGTTTTATATCCAAACGACGTCGGGATGATCATCACAAAATCCATACTGGAGAACGTCCACACAAATGCGTTATCTGTGAACAAGGCTTTACTCAACGTGGGACTTTAAAAAGGCACATGAAAGTTCACAACAGAACAATGCCAATTCTCAATTAAAATATCTGTATATAATTTTTACATCGTTTTGCGTTGAAAGAAAGAGAAGATATTGAATATACAGTTAATCATACCCTAAGTGGTTTTTTTTTTCTATTAATTTTACACTTTCTGAACGAAACTAAAAATACAAAGCAAATAAATTTATCTGTCTATTAGCACTTAGAGGAACTTAATGGCGCAGCGGTTAGCGCATTTGGTCTACGATATGAAAGTTATGCTACTGCTGTATCATTAGCTTTCAACACCCATTAATCCACACAAGGCCTATGTGGAGTTTATAGCACATCACCCCCATTTGATTCGGTTCAATTCCATCCATAGAGAAGGCAAGTGCGCTAGCCCAGCAGGAAACATTAATAGGCTCGTGATAATGATCTACTTATTAAAAATAAAAAATTACATTTATATAGGAGGGTACTAATTAAGTTTTAAAAACAAAAACACAACTACAACATATCATATATTTATTCACATTTCAAAGATTGGACTTAAAGTGCAATGGTGTTGCTTATCAATTGATTTTTATTTCAAATATCATTATTCAATACCATAATGCAATCAAGGTACAGTTCAAAACCTAGCTAGATCGATTTGTCGCCTATGATACCCGCCACTACCGAGATACATATGTTATAGCGCCAGATAGTGCAAACGTATTCATATTTTAATTCATTTTAAATAATATTAGAATTCATTAATAAAATTCTGTGAATTATTAGGAGTGCACAATCACGAAGAGGTGTCGTTAAGTGAGTGAGTAAGATACGAAAATTGTAACAGTGACGGATATAGTGTCTTGTTTACGTCCTTGGATTTACTTCGCTGCTTGCATCAAGGACTAGACTGGCCACACCCTCTCCGGGACACGCCTGCGCACGCGCAGGCTCCACCTCTCATAATTACACTTGTCCGACGGCTCATTTAGGCCTACAACTCATAACGTTATTTATTTTATAATGATTCGCTCTCCACCAGACTCGGATTTATTGCTTACGACGCCGCCAATGACCCATTACAGCTCTGATCCTGCCTTAAATACAGAAATAAACACGGATAATTATCTTAACATAAAAAAAAGACAAAAACGTTCACTAAACGAATATACATATCCATCCCCTTCAATCTCAATAGAAATAAAAACTATGTTTGCCGAGATTAAATCTCAGCAAGATATAAAATTTGAGGCATTATCTACTGCAATAAATACAATTATTACTCAAAATCAAGACATACAAAAATCCCTTGAGAACATGAATAAGAAATACGATAACCTCCAAGAAAAATTTTACTGCCTACAAAATGAGAACATTGAATATAAAGAGCGGGTTTGCAATTTAGAAAACAAGTTAGAATTCCTTGAAAAACATATCCGAAACTCCACAATTGAAATTCGTAATATACCCGTGGATAAGATGGAAAACAAGCAAAAAATAATAAATACAGTAAAACAAATTGGCGCAACACTTAACTTGGTTACCCCGATCGAGGACAATGAAATTAAAGATTTATATATAACGAAGACTGAGACAATAGTTGTTGAGTTTACCCTTCCTCGCAGGAAGGAAATGATAATAAGTGCTTATAAGTCTTTCAATAAGCAGAAACGTGATCAGAAAGAACTTCAACTTAATACTAAACAAATTAATATACTAGGAGCAACTAGGAATATTTATATTTCGGAGTTCCTGACCACAAAAACTAGGCGTATATTTCATACTGCGCGTGATTATGTCAAAAATAAAAAATTGGTGGCCGCTTGGGTCTCGTATGGGAAAGTATATATAAAGAAGGAAGAAGGGGGACCTCCCATTAAAATCCAAGAGGAGGATGAATTGTTCAATTTATACAATTGACTATATGATACATATTATTCAGTTGATGAAGTGAAAAACAAGAGGTTTCTCAAAAAATTACGTTATGTTATTTTGTACTTCTCAATGTTTCATTTAGCATTCTCGGCAAGAATTGAGTTGTCTTGCATCTATATTTTAATGTTAATTATGTTTAAAGTTTATTTTCTTATATTTTATATAACTCTAGCTTTAAGTGGATTACAAGCCCTACGACGCAGATTCAGTTTTTCTATTATATGTATAATCGTGTGCCTGGACGTATTAAATAAATCTGAAAAATCTTACATAAATCAATGTTTATACACTCTATCATTTCTATATAAATTTAAAAAGATTTATCTAACATATAAAAATGCATATGACACTTGGATTCCTTATTTCTTGCTGAATTCAAAACCGAGACAACCAGACCCAAGAATTTATGTTATAAATAAATATAATCTATTATTCTCGATTTTAATAGATAATGGTTAGACCAGATATTGATACTATTAACTTGGGTCTGGATGCTCTCTCGGTTGCGAATGCTCAATCTTGCAACGCTGAAGATCTCAAAATAAAATTCAGTAGGAGTTGGTCTGATAATTCATTAAAATTAATTTGTCAAAACATAAGAAGCATAGGTTGTAACTTTGATAATTTCTATACTTTGCTAAAAAGATCAAACATAGATTGGGATATAATTATCTTAACGGAATGCTGGCTCTCAACTTCTCGACTTACACCAAATCTCGATGGCTATAAAAAATTTGCTACAACAAATAACAAAACACAAAACGAGGGTGTCGTAATTTACATCAGGGAAGAATTAAAAGTAGCAATATCTGAACCTGAAATCAGTGACTTCAATTGTCTAATATTAAAGCTTGCTAATGAGACTTGTGTCATTGGTATATATCGACCACCAAGTGAAAGAAATACAACTTGCTTTATTAATAACATTGATTTACTTCTGACAAAACTCAAGAACTTTAAAAATATAATATTATGCGGAGATATTAACATTGACATTGCTCAGGATACCAAAGATTCTCGATCTTATGAGTATCAGAATATAATGGCCAGTCATAGTATCCTCCCTGGACATTTCATTCCAACGCATGGCAAGACTTGTATTGACCATATAATGTTAAAAACCAAACTAGAAGCTAATTGTTATGTTATAGAATCAACTATCACTGATCATGATTGTGTGGCTCTTAACTTGAATTTTAATGTTAAATTGATTTATTCTATAAAAACTAAAACTGTTATTGATTACAACAACCTTGACAAAGATATACAGATGATAAATTTTGTCTCTATACTTGAGCTTATGGATGCTAATGTAGCCACAGATCAATTAATTTACCTTTTAAGTACAGCAATTAAAAAAAACTCTAAAACTTTAACATTGTCAAAGAGAGACAGATTCTCAAAACCTTGGGTCACGAAGGGCTTGCAAAAATGCTTGAAAAATAGAGATAATATCCACAAAAAATTAAAAAATGATCCAGAAAATGAAGTTCTTATTATTACGTATAAAAGATATAGAAATTATTGCAAATCTTTACTGAAAAAAGCGAAACGAAAATTTGAAAAACAAGAAATTTATACTGCAATGAAAGACAAAAAGAAACTATGGAACGTTATTAATAATATTACCAATTCAAAAAAAGTTTCGGACCATGCAAATTGCCTTATATCTAACTCTGATCCAATAGGATCTATTAATAATGTTAATAAGTTTTTCGTGAATATAGGTAGTAGCCTGGCTCTACAAACTAAAGCATCGCAGACTCCTACGGTTGGGAACAATTCGCACTATGTTAAATCACATAAAACCCCTCTAAATTCATTTAATTTATTACTAGCCGATGAATATACAATTCATAGCCTTATCCTAGGACTCAAAAATAATTGTGCTATTGGTATTGACCAAATATCGAGTAATATAATAAAAAGATATAGTTACTACCTGGTGCCTTCTCTGACGCACATATGTAATCTTGCAATTTCATCAGGAACCTTTCCTAACGCGTTTAAAACTGCTTTAATAAAGCCCATTCATAAGGGGGGTGAAAGAGACTTAGTAAATAATTACAGACCGATTTCAATTCTTCCCACTATGTCAAAGATTCTAGAACGTCTAATAAATAAACAACTAATAAAATATTTAGAGATTAACAATTTGCTTGCAGACTCCCAATATGGTTTTCGTCCTGGTAAATCCACAAGCGATGCGGTCCATAACCTCACCAACCTGATCATGATGAATCTTGACAAAAAAAAGAAGTGCCTTACAATATTTCTTGACATAGCGAAAGCCTTCGACACTGTCTCTTTTCCTCATCTAATTAGCAAATTGGAAGAATCAGGAGTAAGGGGTACCCCTCTCAAATTATTTGAGGATTACCTAAAAAATCGGAAACAGAAAGTTAAAATAGATCAATGGGTCAGTGATGAACAATTAATAACTCGCGGAATTCCTCAAGGAAGTATAAATGGTCCCACTCTATTTTTGGTTTATGTTAACGGGCTGTGCAATCTGAAGCTAACTAATGGTAATATATTGACTTTTGCGGATGACACTGCACTCTTTTTTACCGGTGATACATGGGATGAAGTCTTTGAATATGCTCAAAAAGGCATCCAGAGGGTCAGCACTTGGCTTCGAAACAACTCTTTATCTCTTAACGCTTCTAAAACTAAATATGTGGCTTTTGCTCATCGTTTAAACCTCCTCCCACAAGAATCTTACAAAATTACTATGCATTCATGTCACATGGGTACATTGAATTGCTCATGTCCTTCTCTACAGAGAACAGAGACCATAAAATATCTGGGAGTTATAATCGATCAAACCCTTACTTTCAAACCTCATATAGATATTTTAACTACTAGGCTACGTAAATTAATATATATTTTTAAAAGTTTACATCACGTTGCGAATGCACAAATTATTAAAATGACTTACTTTGCGCTATGTCAATCGTTAGTAAATTATTGCATTACATCATGGGGTGGAGTGTCAAAAACGAATCTCCTTCAACTTGAGAGAGCTCATAGAGCCATTTTGAAGGTGAGTGCAGGCCTCACCTATCGCTTTCCTACAAATAAATTGTATGAAAAGTGGGATGTTCTCTCAATAAGACAATCTTTTATACTACAAACTACTCTTAAAAAACATTCGCAAATCATTTATGACCCTCATCTTAATAAGGATAAGCGCCGTAAGAATAAAGTTTGCTCTGTTCAATCTTGTAACTCAAGCCATGCACAACAGTTTTTTACATTTCTCGGTCCATTCATTTACAATAAATTAAATAAAACCTTAAATATATATCCCATGCATAGAATCAATTGTAAAAAAACGGTATCCAAGTGGCTGAAAACATTGAATTATGATGACACTGAAGATTTTATTCTTCCATCATTATAAGGATTTCTAATTGTCCAATTCTTTTAATTAAGCATAAAAAGTCTGTGAATATTATTCATTGGGAGTTACTGAAACTGCGTCAATTTTGTGAGGATTGTATTATAATAATGTAGTGTAAGCCTTGATACTATTAAAGTAGTAGTATTAATATCCGCGGGAAGGAGCGCTGGTGACCTGTGTAACGGGTCTTGTAAAAAAGACCTATTTCAGACACCAGCTCTTCACAATACGGATATATACATAAAATTTATAATTTCTTTATTGTTCTAAGAAAACTTGCCATCTTTCATTATAAGATAACTCTTCCATTAACAAAGATACACTTAGAACATGTTCACTTGTATTATCTAGCCGCTGTTTATGTGTTTTACTGTCTGTTCATTGTGAACTGGGTATTGTTCTTCGCGCCTAGCGTGTCCCTTCAGATGTCTGTTTAGAGCGCACCGTTGTATAAAGGCGTGTTCACACAACGGGCACGAGTAGGGCCGCTCGCCTGTGTGGATCATCTCGTGGTTGCGACAGTCCCTCCACGACCGGAATGCCTTCGGGCAAAAATCGCAACAGTACGGACGTTCACCTGCAATATAAGAGTTATCATAAACATTTCAGATAAGGCAGTACTAAAATCCAATCAAGTCCAATTGTCACAATGTTTGTTTTCATTTAGACATGTCCATCAATTCTAGACCAGATACGATTACGTTGAAATAGACCATAGAGGTGTCATTTTCGTTCCTTTACACGTAACATTAAGATTCATATTTCAAAGCGATGTCCATGACTTTAAGAACTACTTTTTTTAAATTTGTCATAAACAATAAAAGAATAACTATCAATTTTTTATTTATTTGTATTTACAATTACAATATTAAATAAATAAAAGTAAATCTTTACTTTTATTTTTCACTGAAAGTGAAATATGCGCAGTATTAAAAAAATATAATATAGTTATTCAAATGATAAATTACCAGTATGACTTCTCATATGTATCACTTGAAAGGTCTTATTCTTAAATGTTTTGTCACACTGATCACAAGAAAACGGTTTCTCTGTCGAGTGTGACATCATATGTTTCTTCAGATCACTCTGCAAACAAATAGGAATTTTAAAATTAATAAGTTTGATTATATAGCCCAGCAAGGTCCGTAGATTTTTTTTTATTAAAAATCTATGCATATTACTTGCCAATACATAACTATAATGAAATTTTAATCAATTTAAATCTTAAACTTTGGTATATACAGAGTAGAGTACAAAATCACTTGCGGAAATGCGAAATATTTGTGTAGCCTGATTTGCAACCGTGTGTAAATACTATAATACACACACACACACACACACACGCACGCACGCACGCACGCACGCCCGCACGCACGCACGCACGCACGCACGCACGCACCAACACACACACACACACACACACACACACACACAAGATGTTTAAATTTAATTTTTAGTGCAAACAATTTATTGCCTAGTTTAGATGTCAGAATCCTCCAAACTATGTTTATAATTATACAAAGCACATTGTTTAAGTGAAAAAGTTTGTGTAGAAAATAAATAAATAATAATAATTATAACACCAGAGCGAGAGCCGCGCTGATGTGACAATTATTTTATCAACATCGTCATCACATTACACTAAAAAAAAAGTGTGATGGTTCACAAGTTTATTTTCTATAAATACAGTATTATACAACTGATGTAGCTCACTGTGACATATGGTTAAATCAATCAGAAATCAGATCAGCCAATCAGAATCATCACATATATTACTATTGAGGAATCTGCCAATATCCACACGATTGATCCCCGCCGAGTGAGTGAGACAGACGTCTAATGTGTCACACCTTACGGTTAATGAAACAAGGCTCGCAATAAATTAATTATAACTGTTTCACTCACGTAGGAGTTGGTAGATCTGCTCTATTATTATTACCTTTAAGTAGAACCTCATCTTGCATTGCGAACAGGCTACGTTCTTGATGCCGGAGTGACGTACCAAATGGAGCCTTAGGTATTGTCGCTGGGCAAACTTTTTACCACATTTACTGCACCCATACTTTTTTTCATTTGTATGAGTTTCTAAATGTCTCTGAAAATAAACTGAACTTAGTCTGGGTGTGCAAAATAAATTATTCAAGTTACGTTGGATAATGAACTCTAATTTACACATGCATTTGACATTAAATTATTGGGTTTGAGTAGCCCTCTCGATATTTATATTGTACGAAAATTTATTATAAATTTTTAAACTATTCAAATACCAAAACTGATTGACTTTAGACGTATACGTATTTAAATATACTATCCAGAACCAGTTGATTATACACAAACCACTCAAACATAAATGTCTGCTACTTGTTCGAAAATAGAAAAAAGCAAGCTAACCAAAAGGCATTCGACAGTGGCGCTTAGTGTAAATAAAAAAGGACATAATATTACAAAAAAAACAAAAACATAATATACCTTTAAATTATATTGTTGCACGAAGGCGGCGTCGCAGAGGTTGCAAGCATATTTCTTGTCGCCGGTGTGGAGCATCTCGTGGTTCTTGAGTACGTTGAGGTAAGTGAACCGTTTCCCGCACCAGCGGCACTGGTACTTGCGCAGCCCCGAGTGGATCCGCGAGTGGATGCTCAGGTTCTTGAGTGAGCTGAACGTCTTACCGCAAACGCCACATTTCGATTCCGACTAAAGTAATTATACCTTTAATTACACAGGAATCTTCATGAACAAAAGCTGTGACAGTATCTACTCGTAACTAAATACAATCTTCTAAGCATATTCGTATTTATACTAAAACTACACTGATCATAATTTTTTCAAAATAATTAAACATATAGGAAAGATCATACATAAGTGTTAATAAGTTTAACAGCCAGTTGCACAAACGACAATTATTTTTATCATTAGTTTAAAGCGACATTACCGATACAAATTGACATTCATTAGATCTTAAAGGCGTCATTAAACCTTAATGGACGTTTGTGCTACTGACAGTATGTCGTTTATTAAACCAAAATAAATAATTATTTGAAGCACTTGTAATCTTTTTTAGACCTCAAACTTATGATGAATTGGGTCCAAAATCGATTACAGATTAAAATATTTTGTGATAGCCCTATGCTACAGTTTTCAACAACTTTAGTACCTTAATGCCAAAATGACTTCTCATGTGCACTTCAAAGTTTTCATATGTCTGGAATGATCTTTTACATTTAAGACATTTTAATTTAGTGTTCTCTCTTGCAGATCGTTGCGTGCGTGTCTTTCTGCAAAAAGATATGTACATAACCGTTAAGCTAGTAACTTATTAGAAGTTAAATATTTATATTATTTGAATTGGTCAGGTTCTTATGATTTTTTCTTTATATAGATTAAATGTAAATTTTCATTATTCAAGGAAGTTAATTGAAAGCACTTTAATTATTTAAAAGAGAAAAAGTATCAACAAAAGAGACTTTCTATCATTTTTAATAGCTCAGCTGCATTTTTCGCGCAATTCTGCCAATTTCATGTGGATAGCTGCTATACAATAGGGATTCTCATATAACAAATTTGAAAAAAAGATTCTAATATGTAAATATTTTTTCTTTGTTTTGCAATAAGTGTCAAATAAATAAATATTACTAAACATATGATTTGATGAATGTGAAACAAAACACAACACATTTTATCGCATGCACCATGCCACAACACATTACATAGACAAGCATAATATTTTAGTAGTCTGTCCTTTGGTCATCACTATTATAATATAGCTGTAGAAGAAATTTTTTGTTTCAAAGTTTTTTGTGTGAGTTGGCTGTAGTGGGGTTTTAGTTTTTTCAAAAGGCTATCAAAAGTAATGCTGTCAATATATATATTTGCAATGTGCAAATTAAGCTCTTGATATTTCAGTTGCCTGGAAGATATTGCTTTTTAGCGATAAGGCCGCCGATTGTACTGTTGATATGTTTATTGTTATGTTGATTTTTCTTTTCAAATACAATAAAGTGTTCATTCATTCGTACCCTACACAGAATGAATATTATTTTTTTAAGGTTCTTGCTTTATGCTCTCTAGAGGGTGCTGTTGTTAATTTAATGATTTAGAGGTAAGACTAGTTATACAATTTTAAAGACCTCTGCTTGTTTTTCCTAACAACAAATGAGAAAATGTAACTGTTTACATTTAACTCTAAATGACGATGTGAACAATTCTATCGCTAAAGTAGTACATTGGTTTAATGTAAATAATCTTCTCCTTAATGAAGGAAAAACAAAATGCTTAAAATTTGTACTACCTAATGTTAAAAAAGTAGATATAAATGTTAATGTAAAAGATAAGAACATGGGCCTTGTGGATACCACAGTATTTTTAGGAATAACATTAGATTCTAAACTACAGTGGGGCCCACATATTGATAGATTGTCGAGTAGACTTAGCTCTGCAGCATATGCCGTAATGAAGATACGTAGGTTAACTGACATAGATACTGCCAGATTAGTATACTTCAGTTACTTTCATAGTGTTATGTCGTACGGTATCCTATTGTGGGGAAATGCTGCCGACATACAAACAATTTTTGTGCTTCAGAAAAGAGCAATTCGATCAATTTATAATCTTAGGATTAGGGACTCTTTAAGGGAGAAATTTAAGGAAATAGACATTATGACTGTTGCTTCTCAATATATATACGAGAACTTAATGTACGTTCGTAAAAATATTAGTTTGTTTTCTATAAAAAGTGATGTACACAATTTTAATACAAGAAATAAAAATAAATTAACGGTGCCTGTCACTAGACTGCAAAAAGTTAATAACTCTTTCAGGGGTCTTTGTGTGCGCTTCTACAATAAGGTCCCAAGCAAAATACAACAATTAGATATCATGCAGTTTAAATCTACTATTAAAAAAATACTTATTAAAAAAGCTTATTATAAGGTATCCGATTATATAACAGATAAGAACGCTTGGACTTGAGATGATCCAGCAACTGGATAGGTGATTACTTCTAAACTCATTATCTTGTTTCCATTATTATTAAATGATTATGTTATTATTATAAGACCATATTTTTTTTTTATCTCTGTTTATAATGTATTGATCTGGTAATGACATGGTTTTTGTAAATGTCATTACTCATATTAGAGCTGGTGAGTTTCTTGCTCGTTCTTCTTATCAGCCAAAAGACGTCCTGAACGAGTGGTAGGGAAAAAATGTTGGACGATTCAAAAGTACTTTTAAGAAGTCTATTTGAATAAAGATTATTTTGAGACCAAATTTTTTATAAAATCTCCATTTTTTCAGTGACTTTGAGAATAGTTTTTAGGAAACAGATTCTAGATGATACAAAGGGACTACCGGAAATATTGTAACCTATGAGGAATCCATCAATTGTGATAATAATCATTGCAATCATATTCTACCTTATTTCAAATTTTATCTACTATATCATATAGGGTGTTTGGTGTATTTGTTACATTTTAGCCATACATCTTATGTTCCAGTGTCACAATTACTTATAATTGTTAAATTCAATACAGAGGCATTAATTTGGGTGATTTCACAAAAACAATGAAAAAAGTTATTGTGATACTAACAAAAGGTATATGGCTAAAGCATAGCTAATAACTCTAAACATTGCCCAAAAAATTGTGTTGGTCCATGTACCACCTGTATAATAGTTTTGAAACTATTTTAATATATTCACTTAAATTTAACTGTAAAACAACTTTTGAAATTTTCCAGTATGTACAAAATAAAATAAAATTTTGTATTCTGATGTGCTAGACATCAGATTACAAAAAATCAAACATTCTTTCTGAATCCTGAATGAAATGTTAAGGCTCATTATTATCTATTTATAATATATTGATCTGGTAATGACATGGTTTTTGTGAATGTCATTTCTCCCATTAGAGATGGTGAGTTTCTTGCTCATTCTTTTTATCAGCCAAAAGACATCCTGAACGAATGGTAAAAAAATTGTTGGATGATTCATACAAACTTTTAAGAAGTTTATTTGAATAAAGATTATTTTGACTTTGACATGATAAATTTTATACTTTGGTAATCTAATGTGCTGTTGACTGTACTTGTAATCCACAAAATTATAAAAATAGCATAATCATCATTATTGTTTTTTGCAATTGAAAATAAAACTTAACTTACCTAGATTTTTCAGTTTCACAATAACCAATATCAGCATCTTTGCTCACTAAATTATGTTCACCATCAGGGCTTATCTGCACAATGTCTTCATTTGTGTTTTCTTCTATTTCATGTGTTTGTTTTTGTTTAGACTGCAAAGTAACTTCTAAATCTATAAAATATGACTTGACTACTAACCAACAACACTACATTAACATTTTAATAGATAGCTAATAGATATTAAGTGATATTTTCTCTTTAGAAAGCATTGGTCAAGTACCTGCAAATCCTGTAATACTTGCTGTTGCAGGATAGAATTCGATTTAATAGCCACTTCTTTGAAGAAGAATAGTTTATTAAGCATTTCAAGACACTTTTGACATATTTGTTTAGGAAGTTCATCTTTTCTTGATACCTGAAAAAATATTCAGTACGACTGAGTGTAGAAATTTAGAAAAACAAAAATAAGCAATTGGTTAAGATATAATTTTAATAACAATAACAACAAACAGATACCGCAGTATCTTAAAGTGTTAATTTTAATTATATTTATTTACAATTATATATAAGTAGCTACTCACTTTAACGGATGTACAATATTTATACATTTTGGGAGTGCAGACTAGAAACAAATCTTTGAAAGGGCCAGAATCTGACAAACAAGCACGACATATTTTGCTAAAATCAACAACATTTAAGTCCATCATGAACGATAAACTAAATTAAGAGATAATTATCTTTAGAGGCAGTCGTGTCAGACGTTTATATAAGATATCACGTAGCTATAAGCCCACTAACAATTTGTTATCTCAATAACACAGACTTCTCAATAAGCAAATAAACAAACGTATTTATCGCGAAAGCTCGGACGGAAGCACAGACCAAGAAGGTGACACTGGACAGAAACAAACTGAAGCAGTTTAGTGATGCGACTCGAGTCCCTGGTTTTACTTTTGAGTCCTTAAGTGATTTTTCAAACTATCATAATATAGGTATTGTCTCTATGCACACTTGTATTTTATTTATATTTATATTATGTAATTATTTATTTAAAATTACTAAAACTTTTATTTTCTTTTACTTAAGAAAACTCTAGTGGGGCCGTCCATTAATCACGTGATGCTCGAAAGGGGGTGAGGGGATTCCTCAAAAATCATGAAATATCACAATCGGGGATGGGAGTTGTAGTAACATATCACGTGTATTAATTTTTTCCTCAAACGCTCATTTACTAAATCGAAAACCGACATCAAAAATAAAGACTTTTTGCAAGTACTAAAAAATACACGTGATTTTGTCTTAAGCCTCGCCATGTCTCACCGAGGGGGAGCTGGGATTAAAAAATGTTGAAAAAAACATCTTGTTAATTGCCTCGAGTGACTCGAGTCGCATCACTAACTCAACCAAAATATATATTTATAAGGAATTATGTAGGTAGTTAACTTCGTCCTCTAAGGATAGTAGTATTCTAGTAGCTCGCTAAGTGTAGATGTTTCTTAAGTAGTATTTTCAAATTCCTCTAACGGCAGGAAAGTAAGAATTAAGGAACGCAAAAAATATCGGTACCCTGAAGTATATATCGTCGCTGTGCGTTCACAAATCGCTATGTGTATTGGAGCTACTTTTCAGGAACAACAAAAAACTAGTTTACTCTGGATATATTCGAGATAAGATAAATTATTTTTGTCTGATAAATTTAATAATCTATTAACATAGTTTAAGATCATTATCATTAAAATGACATGTAAAGTAAGTTTTCTAAAAAACGAAATGTATAAAATTTACACATAGCGTTAATTTAATGTGTCATAAATAGTCGTCATGTGCCTGAAGAACACAAAGCTACTTTTAAATGACACGGAATTTTTATAATTTGCCCTATCTTATAGCACATGGCTATTTAATAAAACTAACTTGTTTAGTTATACAAAACGTTTATTAAGTAATTGAGGGATACAAATGAAAAATTAGAAATAGATCATAATTTTTTTAATAAATACAAAAACAAAACAAACATTAGTCTTAAAATCAGTCAAACCTAATCATTTTACGTATCTAATTACAATTTTTGTACTTTGATTTCAGAATGAGATCAATTAACTTAACGAGATAAATTATGAAAGAATGGGTGGTAATCAAGATGCATGCAACGATGTTTTAGGCTTTGTAAATGATTATATTTAGTGGCATCGATTTTCAATGGACCGTTGTATAGCCCTGCTGGTACCGTGATAAGCGATGTGTTTATTCGTCTTCGTGGCAAAGTATCCCCAGTCATCGGAATCGCGTAATATATATTGCACTTCACCATTGACATAAATAAGTCCTCTTAAATCTGTCAGTTGCATCACCAACTCTTCTACCATGTCTTATAGTAGAAAAATTCTGTTCTTTCAATATCTCTGTATTTTTTTCTCTGTACGGTGTATACATTATTTACCTGGCACCAGGCCATATAAATAAAGTACATGCGAGTAAAACATTCGGATGATTCTTCAATGTATGTCCTGGTACTATTTGCTCGATAATAATGACTTGGTACTTTTGGTATATCATCAAGCCACTTTTCACAGACTCTGACTTAAGATTTGTGTTTGTAAAATGATTAGCAACTGTATCGATTTTTCGGACAATATTATTTTCACCATTCTCTCTTAAATCTATGTTAGATCGAATCCATAGCTGTAACACATCTTTCTTTAAACAACCGTTGCAAGAAAAAGTTCTTTACAAACACGTACCTTCACACCATTCATGCTAAGCAAATAGCAATCAAATTCTACATTTTTTTTGTGCATCGTTAGATGTTTTTCATCGGCGTATGATGTTTCGAGTCTGGCAGTCTTACTTAAATGGACTCACCATTTAAGTAAGACTTTTTTGCTTGCCATGAGGGTAATTACTAAATATCGGTCCGTGTTTCTACATTAATAACAGCACAAGTATAGCTTCTGGCCGTTTTTTTAGCAGCTCCATGTCCATAAGGTTTTAACTCTCATTAGTCTACATTAGTCTACCTACACCTCTTCTAATGCTGTATTCTCGTCGACTTTCGTAACTTTATGACCTGAATAATTCTTCTCTAAAAGCCTCACCTATTGATTTTTCATTCTCTTTCTTTTTTCCTCCAGAACAACGACATCTTCCTTAATGGTACTGTTATTGTTTTCCTTTTCAATTATAGGTCAAAACAACCAGTTTAATCGTTCAGGTAAGAAGAATCTACAACTAACTATGAGCCATGTGGTAATATAATATGGCTCATAGTTAGTTTGTAGTTCTAAGCAAGATTCAATTGATCCTATAATAGTTGTTGTGGTTACTACACTTTGAGTTGCACCTGTTATTCCTGTCGTAATAATATTAGTAAAATCGGCAAAAGTATTAATAGCATAATCTGTATTTTCACATAAGTTCTCCCTTTGGCCTGTTGTAGTAGGTGGATATAATATTGACAATTCTTCTTCCAGCTCTAAAGCCAGTTCACGTATCGACTGTTGTGAATCTTTGCAAAACGGTACAAGACGTTTACTTCTTCAAAACCTAAGCATTCTTGTTGTTAATCCTAAAAGAGCAAAAATAAAGGATAAGTTAAGCAATTAGCGTTAGGTAAAACGCCTTATATTTGTTTTTATACTAGAAATTATTATAATACTAGAAGTATAAGGCGCTAAGAAAACAAGGCACTCCGTTATGATTAATAAATAAGATTAAAAAAAATATTTTAATCTCAGTAAACCCCAGGGTGGGAATTTTAGTTTCTAACACAAGCAAAGCTACGAGCGTAAACTTAAAACAATTATGGTAACCAGTACCAGTTTATTACAGTTTTAATCCATTCACCAACTAAACCAAAGCAACCCAAAATTAACTCAACCTTAAGTTAATATAAAAAATAATATGACACAAATTATTGATTTACTTACTTGTAGTGATCTCAACTCGTAAAAACAATCTCGTCCAATCGCGTACAAAAATATCGCTATGTGTCAAACTGACATACGTTCGATCTGAACTGAAACTTGTCCAATCGCGTACAAAAATATCGTTATGTGTCAAACTGACACATAACGGGCGCAGTTGATGAACATGATTGAATAGTGAATTTCTATAGTTATGTGATTTTAGGTACTTAGTGATTTTTTGGGAACATTCAATGTATGAACGTCACATAACTATTTTTTATAACTTCGTTATTAGTAGTTTTATCACAAAACTGTTTTTACACCTTACGTGTAATGATATAAGGGTCAAAATTATATAAAAAACCAAATATTAAGAAAAATCATATAGCGACTTTTGATCATTAGTTTTATTTTGATACCAAGTACATTAGGCATTAGGTAATACGACATTATTTATGTATTAATAGAATTTGTAGTTTTTTTTTTATTTAATTCAATATTTATGATTTAATATCTATAGAATTATTTTAGTTTTCACCCCCGTTTTCTGATTATCATTTAATTCTCTCCATCCAAGGTCATCCAAGGAGAGACCTTAAAACTGCAAATAAATGTATGAAAATGAGCGTGGAAGTTTGTATTCGGAACTAAAACGAAAAATCCACATTGTCTGATTTGGTTTTGATTAACATACCTATTAGGTTGGCAATGACATCCAATAATCAAAACCAAATCAGGCAATGTGGATTTTTCACTAACGATATGAAATGTAAAAATAAAAATAAAATGTAATTTTGTTACCCTTTCTTATTTGTTTATTTCCATTTAATGAATAATAAAACAGACACAATAGCCACAGTTTGTCATGTGAGATTACAAAATGATGACAAATTAAGAATTAAATGAGCTTTCAAACACTAGCTTTTTTACGTAAATTGTAGCCTATGCCTATGTCGCCCGCTTATGGTATAGCTTCCTGTAAGTTAAAGCATTAAAAATCGGTTAAATAGTTTCGGAGCCTACTCATTGCAAACAAACAATTAAATCATTCCTCTTACATATTATTAGTATAAATTATCATCTAGAAAAACATCATTATGGGCTTATACAAATCCCTCATGCCTGGCTGCCTGCTTCATGCTGGGTACGATATTTAGGTACCTAAGGCACGTCGTCAACCAGACAGACATATAGTCCATATTTATAGTAATCTTGGGAAAGTTTCATTGTTATAATAATAGTAATTAAAATATAACAATAATCACGCTCTAATATATCGATATTGGATACGTCCGTGTCTGGAATCTTCATTTATCCCATAGTCAGGCACATCTTCATGTACATTTTGTCTGCAAATCTCTATTGTATATAATCCACTTTGTAGATGCTCACTGCAAGAATACCATGGAAGTTTTGGAACCTTATGGTTGAAGGTACAACTGTACTGTGGTGATGGAGACAACTGGCCAGGGAGACTAAAGGGTATTTGATCGATTGTTGTGGCGATGTCAGTGCGCTGAATTAGATGTCGCTATGTATCAGTCGTCACAGAAGCATCATTTTACATGTTTCTAATGCCAACAAAATAACTTGCTTCATTATATCGTGAGAATTTTACATCATTCCCTTCTAACCTCACAAAATTTCCAGTCTTTCTATTAATTAATGTTTTTCTGCTGACGTAATTATATAAAACTAGCTTTCCACCAGCGGCTTTGCACGCGTGGTTCTTAGGGGCTGTTTATTTGGATATCGATTCATGACATGACTCGGATATAATTACAATCATAATGATAAATTGATAGTAAACAATGGTAATGTAACGTTTTAGTTCCGTATACAAACTTCTACGCTCATTTTCATACCTTTATTTGCTGGTTTTCGAGATAAAATATAGACTATGTTCACTTCAAAATATAGGCATATACAATGTAGCCCTCGCAGTTGAAAGGATATTTAAAATAGGTTCAATAGTTTCGGAACCTATTCATTGTAAACAAACATATAGTCAAAACTTTCCTTTTTATTATATTAGTATAGATCAGCCATACTCAACCTTTTTTTTAATGGGTCCACAAACACGTTTCGATCTTGAATTGCGGGCCGCAAAAATATGTAGGTGTTAAAAAAACATAATTCCAAATTGGCGATGTGTTTATTGAAAAAAGAGGTGGTCACAATAAAGCCAACTATACAATACATAATTTTGTATTTTAATATTAGGTTATGATGAAGCCTCATGCAATGTAGACCAAATTTTCAACAGTTTTTCTGATGGGCGTGACATTTAAAACTTTGCCAAAGTTTTAGTGGGCCAATCACAAAGGTCCGACGGGCCGCAGGTTGTGTATGGCTGGTATAGATACTAGGCATACATAAATAACTGCGCTCTTATTTCTTCGACAATCATATCGACATACGATAGGTATATGAAAGTGGTTGAAAATGGCTACAGTAGTATTTAAGTACCTACAGTCTGCCTATAAAGTCATGAAAAAGATGTTTGAGGAAGTAGCAAAAGGAACTCATCTTCCACGAAAATGTCTCGAGATGGATGTAGTCGTGTATTTGATCCGTTTGGGGTCGACACGATGGGTCCAGGGGCCCCGGAAACCCATCGTCTTTATCAAGAGTTAAAAAATAAACTTTTTGTCAGGTCTGGTGATCAGAAGGCTGGAATAGCCAAACTAATTCTTAAGGCGAGGTTAAGGGGAAACGCTCGTAGACTTCTGAGCACCTTACCTGTTGGCAATAATCTGGGGGATATTTTTTATTTAGTATAGTTCAGACATAGCTTAGATAAGCAGTTTAAATATTAATATGTTAATTGTTCTATTTAATTGATAAATAAAATTCATACTACAAAAGGACATAAAACATATGAATTTTAAAAGATTATGATGAATTTATTATAATTAATGAATGAAATGAAATGAAAATGTATCCACGTAGACAAGTTGACTGGCAGAAAATACCCGAAGCATCAAAACTTTCGTTTCAATCAAGTACATAGATAGTTCATAAATAAATAAGTGGAAAACAGTAAGAAAAAAAATTGAATTAAATATTTCAAATAAATAAAGTGATTCTCGTGGCGTGTGTCCCACTACAAATATCTTAATACTGTATAGTCAACCGAGAATCGAACCTGCATCAGATAACGGGCGGACGTCATAAAACCAATCAACCAAGGGCGACGTGGTAATATTAATAATTTTAACAAAGAAATATGTAGTATATACGTACATAAGAAATTTTTGTATTTAAATATTTCAGAACGTATATATGTATTTTAAGTACTTGTTAGTTATTTGAAAGCCCAAAGTTTGGATTCTTTCCATTTTCGTCAAAATTCACCCCTTTTTGAAGATTTAACTTTATATTTTAATAAGAACGCAGTGGCTCAACACATTTATTTATGTGTGTTTTGTCTCAGTGGGTTTTATTTTAGTGGGTTATAGTTTAAATTAGAAAGTGCCGCGTCCTTGCACTCATATAAAATATTAAGTTAAATCTACGAGACGTATAATTCATATATTTTTTTAATTAAAATATCTATTAAGCCTGTCTACATAGTAAATTATTAATAAAATAAAATTACAAAAGAAAGGAAGAGCGCTCCATGAATTACACGAGAAAAGGAAATCAAGTTGACTCTCTTGTATCTAAAAACTGTTATATTATTTTTAGATACAGAAACAGTTATTTATACCTAAGTGCCGTTAGTCAAGCTTTAAGAATGGATCGTGTTTTCAAAACCCGCTCGCTCCAATCATCTAACACAGTCGTGTTAATGTGTGAGTAATATTATTCGCCTCGGCCAACGGAAGTCTCATTGGAGACCAAATCGATTAGCAACACTATGTTGACGCTTTCATTGTGTATATGAAGTTAAAACAGTCATATTATATGTTTAAACACCATAACTAACCTCTTATTTTACAAATGTCTAGTATATATTGATACAGAAATGTATAGTGTGTAATATTGCTTGCCAAATAGTGATAAAATGATAATATCCAATACGATTGAGTGGATAGTGTACGCGTCCGTTTATTGACTCGAACAGATTATAACTGAGGATACATGTGTGCGTTCATAAATGTGAAGATAAGCAACACAGATTACAAACTCTGAACAACATTGGTTGGTTATGTGAAACGTTTGCACTATGCATATACATTCATTTCATTACTTTATTCATACGTGAAGCGCTTACACATAAACTGTCGCTCTTGATAAGAACAATAAACACGTAGACTCAGTTTGACGTTCGCAGTGTTATGGTGATTTTGTTAGTTTTGCCGAAAATATCCAATAAAAATGTGCAATAATACAAAATGTGACAAAGTTCCCGTGAAAGAAATTCCAAGTGATACACGGATCGGTAATCTCATAAATATTTTTCGTGAAGAATATGATGCCGAACCGGACTTCATTGTCAAAGTCCCGGGGCGGGTAAATATTATTGGTGAACATATCGATTATTGCGGGTATCCAGTGTTACCTTTGGCTTTAGAGCAGGACATATTAATAGCGAGTAAAAAAATAAGTAAACTTGAATTATTTATCAGAAATTCTGATAAGAAGTACCGCAAATATTATACACAAATAAATACATTCGAAGATATTGTAATACAGTCAGAACCTCAATCAAAACCCGAATGGTATAATTATGTACTATGTGGTATTAAAGGAGCTTTGGAATATTTAAACAATGAGATTTTTTATGGAATGCAATTCTTGGTTGATGGTAACATTCCTCCAGCATCCGGTTTATCCAGTTCCTCTGCTTTGGTCAGTGCTGCATGTCTCTCTTTCCTTCATGGACAAGACGCCCCTACTAATAAAACTGAAATAGCTTCCTTATGTGCAAGAAGTGAAAGATATATTGGTACTGTAGGTGGTGGTATGGACCAAGCTATAGCATTTCTTGCTGAAAAATATAGCGCGCAATATATTACATTCAGACCTCTCAAAGCGGAACCTGTAGCTCTCCCGGAAAATGCAGTTTTTGTTGTGGCTCACAGTTTAGCAGAAGCTAACAAAGCGGCCACAAATGATTTTAATAGGCGAGTTATAGAATGTAGATTAGCTGCTAAATTACTAGCTGAGGCTAATGGTCAGGCAACAGGCAAAAGGATCGTCACTTTGAGCGAAGTGCAAACTCTTTTAGGTAAGAGTTTAGAAGAAATGATAGCTCTCGTAAAAGAAGTTTTATTTAAAAATGTTTATATGAAACACGAAATATGCGACAAATTAAATTTAACGGAAACTGAATTGAATGATATCTACCTAACACCGAACACACGAAACTTGACTGAATTTAAATTAAAGCAAAGGGCTCTTCACGTTTACGAAGAAGCAAGCCGGGTTGAATCGTTCCGAAGTATATGTGAAGATTTATCGAAAGATAACACTACTCATAATGGAAGGAATGGCTCAGTGACAAATGGTAATGGTAGTGCTACTTCTTTCGACAGTCTACATGTTCTAGGTGAACTTATGTCGGCAAGCCATAAAAGTTTGAAAGAGCTTTACGAATGTTCACATGAAAACCTAGACCACCTCGTAGACATATCAAAACAGATGAACGTCCATTCTCGCCTAACTGGAGCCGGGTGGGGAGGTTGTATAGTAGCATTATGCCCGAAAGAACGTGTCAAAGAATACATAGAGATGCTCATTGATAAGTTTTATATACAATATTGTAATATAGACAAGAATCAAGTACATAAGTATGTATTCGCTACAACCCCAAATCACGGTGCCATAATTTATAAATAAATAAATTTATAAATAATCCCCAAAACCAAATACAATATCAAAATACGGCGTAGTTAATGTTTCTTTATTTATTGAATATAAAAAGAATATGAAACATTAAATACATTCTATGTAATACAAAACTTTGTTATTATGTCACCGCAAAATAATGAATATCATATATGTCGTCCGTTTCTAAACTGTCTTGTTTGATTTTTTGATTTCCGGTTTGATACATCCGTCACTCATTACCGTTCTTCAAAATTGTTGAATATTGACCTCTAAATTTATGATCTAGACTGACATTTTTTTTATTTTAAATAAAAATCACAGCAGATTTTAATATCGCCGAATTTGTAAAAAAACAAAAGATTAATCAGATTTTTTTTTTTGAAGACCAGTAATGACGGTTGTATCAAACCCAAAGCTCAACCTCCGCAGAAACAGCCAATAAATGTCAGTTAAATATCGGTTTAGGTTATGTTTATTTTAATTTAAAATAATTCGTTTAAGATTATAAACTGACGATGCTTGCAATTTTATGGTAATATATAATACATAACGATTGTAGAGTCGCATATTTATTTATTTAAAAAAAAATTTTTTTAATAACTTATGTTTCTTTCAGTAACTTTAAATAAGTATGTTATTATATAAACCAGCGCTAATCCTTTGAAAGCTAAGCCACGTGAATATCAAATCACGTTTGATGGTAGCGGGTGTTTCTGTTAAAATTCAACGTAGATTACTGATCTTCTGAACTCTCAAACATCGTAACACAGGGGTTTCTAACTTTAGGTTGCGGATATTTTTAAAAAGTTATGAGAGCCGTATATTGATTTTATTAGGCAGAAATTACACGCGGCACTACATTGACATCAATTTAAATAAACCACCGATTTTTATTAATCAGCACTTATAGATAAATAAAACGTTAGTGTAGTAACATTTCGGGCCGCCAGCCAAAAAGGTTCAGAACCATTGGTTTATCACCAAAAAGTATAATAAATTAAAGAACCTTTCAAATTTTGCGATAATTTGTGTTGGCCCAATGTCGGGCATTAATTTTTTCATTGATGAACCAACTTAAATTGCTGCTGCTTCTCTAGCATTAAAAAAAATTAAATACCATTGCCATTAAACCTATTATAATATCTAATATATATAACTTATCGAAGATATTTGAATTTTAAAATATTTACGCATTTATTATGTTAGATTATGTTAAACGCTAGTTTAAGATTAAAATACATTGATAATTTTTGGTAAATATGTTTTTGAAATAAATTATTTATGGTTAACTCATAATTGTTTTATTTTTAACGTACCTACCCAATACTCTAAACTGTTTATCTTTTTTTTTTAAATTGAAAACTGCTTATACAAATTATACAACGTGTCCCAAAATTCAACGATAAGCGGGCGCCAAGAGGTAGACCTGCTCATGTGTACTTATGGAAAAATAAGAAAAAAAAATTATCTTATTAATCTTTTTTGTTATAAAATAAAATACGAAAATTTTCGAAAATTTACATCTTTTATGATATTTTCAACTACCACGACCACAACTTCTCAATTATGTTCAATCTTTTTTTGGTATCGGATACCTAAGTAGTACTTATATTCGCTACAACTGTTAAAAACACCAAAATGCCCACAGTATTTACACAAAAAACAATCAAAATGTATTTTTTTCCTTAAATTTTCACAGATTTTTACGTTCCGTAATCTTTGACTCACAGTCATGTAGAAAAAAAGTATGGACACTACTGCAGCAAGTTGTTTTTAAAACTGACGCAGCTCATGAAGATTCCATAATGGTATAATACTTCATGATAACTAGCAACAAACTAAAAATCATACCATTTAGAATCAAGAACCAAAGTTGTGAGTAATAAATTGTACTGTTCCGAAATGTTTTAATATTTAAAAAAAATATTGAAATAAAACAATAGTGAGTTTTAGTCTCATTCATTTATTAATAATTAACATTACAGTAAATGTTCAAATTGTTTTCCACCGGCATTAATACATGCACGACATCGCCTTAAAAAAGAGCGTTTTATTTTTCGTGCATACCTTTTAGCATTGATATGTGACGCAGCCTGACTAATTTTTTGCCGAAACTCGTCCAATGTCGTAATGGGTTTTTCATAGATTTTGTCTTTGAGACAACCCCAATAGAAAAAGTCCAGGGGGTTTAGGTCGGGTGATCGGGGTGGCCATAAGATAGGAGCAAGTCGCCCAATCCAACGCCCGGAATACTCTTGGTCCAAGTATTGTCTCACAGGACGAGCGTAGTGAGCTGGGCAACCATCATTTTGAAACCACATATTTTGTAGATCTCTTAAGGGGACGTCTTCAAGCAATTCTGGCAAATCATTTTGTAAAAAGTTCAAATAACTGTCACCATCCAAGTTTCCTTGTAGTTCAAAAGGCCCGATCACTTTTCCATTTAATATGCCCGTCCATAGGTTAACCTTAAACTGATATTGGGATTTTTCCTGTCTCATTAGGTGTGGATTTTCATTGCTCCAGCTGTGTAGGTTGTGGAGATTTAAATATCCATCTTTCTTGCATGTTGTTTCGTCCGACCATAGTACTTTGTCCAAGAATTGAGGATCTTCCCGGTGCTTTTGAAGCATAATACGGCAAAATGTGATCCGTAGTGGATAGTCCCGTGGTAGCAATGTTTGCACACGTCTGTAGTGGTATGGGTGAAGCCTGTGATGTTTTAAAATTCGATGAGCCGTTCTTTTTGGGATTCCCGTAGCTGCTTCTATGGCGCGTACTGAAGTAGTTCAGTCAATGTTTATTTCATTGAGAACTTCTTCATCGTATTCCGATCTAGGTCTTCCAGCGTTGCTTCTGGCTGATGGCAAACGACCCTCCGAGAACGCTCGATGCACATTCATAAATACTCGGTAATCTGGGTATCTTTGGGCGTTCGGGTACCTTTCCCGATACAATCTGCTAGCAGCGTTAACATTGCACCGACATTCTCCATAAATGAGGTGCATATTAGCGTATTCCGTCGGCGTGTATGGTAGCGGCATGATAACGCTAAACAATCCAAAATACGACGAAAGTCCAATTCACAAAACACTATCACAGTCCAAATTAATGCCAGGTTAGTTCAGTTTGCAGATCACTTAATTCCAGTCCAAAATAGAAAGCCAAAAGTCGTTAGTACGAGAGCCACGTCAATTGAATACAGAAAGGTGCGCAGTAAACAAAGGAGCAGAACGTACTGATCCGACTTCAGATTTGCTGAGAACAGGATTTCTCTATGTACCTGCATTGTTGTTATTCTACAAAAAATATCTATCTATCCCTCTCTAACATACCCCCCTTCTCGCTATCTGTTGAGTCAACTATAAGTTGAGCCATTACAAACGTGCGAACTGAGTTAGAAAAACAAATTACGTCAAAGGAATGTGACAATGCCGCAGAACTCGTTTTCGATAAAGGGATGCAGCCGCTCGGGTGCAGGTAGCTGGTAGAATTGGTAATTTGGTATACATAGACACAAGTAAAGGGCGAAGTGGCATGAAAAACAATACTTTCAAAATAGCAGAAATAGAGCATTACCTAATAAATAAATATCTAATGAATATTTATAATTTGGTTAGTTTGTTTACAAATGGTGTGCATATTTTTTTACTGTGACTAGTTATCTTAGATTATTATACCATTTTAGAATCTTGATGAGTTCAGTCAATTTTAAAAACAACTTGCCACAGTGGTGTCCATACTTTTTTTTACAAGACCGTAAGTCAAAGATTACGGAACGTAAAAATCTGTGAAAATTTAAGGAAAAAATACATTTTCATTGTTTGTTGTGTAAAAACTGCGGGCATTTTGGTGTTTTTAAGAGTTGTAGCGAATAGTAGTGCTACTTAGGTATCCGATACCAAAAAAAGATTGAAACTAATTGAGAAGTTGTGGTCGTGGTAGTTGAAAATATCATAAAAGGTGTAAATTTTCGAAGATTTTCGAATTTAATTTTATAATAAAAAAGATTAATAAGAAATAATTTTTTTCTTATTTTTCCATAAGTACACATGAGCAGGCCTACCTATTGGCGCCCGCTTATCGTTGAATTTTGGGACACGTTGTATATTTTTTAAATGAAGAGTAGTGTTTCATTTTTATATTTTATTAGATTTCTAGTACAGTAGAATCTTTATTATCGGAGCATCCGATTATCCGGAGTCATTCGCCTCGGCTTTGATTGAAACTTTTAAAAAAAATTGAGGAAGCAACGAGACTTTGTGAGTCTCCAATTCAATCGTGTACTTATATCACTACCGATTATTTGATATAGATATAGTGTTTATTTTAATGAATTTTTTCGACAGCTTTCAAATGTATTCGCAAAAGCTTTTCAACCTCTAGATGTTGCTTTTAAGTGGTTTGAAACATAGGACGAATCGGATCCCATAGAGTTGTTACAACTAGAGCGCATCAGGGACTAGGCCGCAATGAACAAAATGTGATTTATTACACCAAAGCAACTATCATTAACATGCTAATTAATTATCGAAATATGTAGCACGTTTTTTTATTATCATCTAGGCAATGCATGAAAAATAACTTAATAAAAATTGACTAAAATTTAAATATTGTTTGTTTTGACTTTCAAACGGATTATCCAGTTTTTAGGTTATACAGAATACCCTTAGTTTTATTTAATCCTGATAATCGGGTACTGTAGATGTTCAGTGCTTATCATTTTTTTTACCACGTTTAAATCAGTATTTTGATGTAAAAAAATATTTTCTTTTTATATGTGTTTTTGACACACACAAAGTTGAGAGCGTTGGAAATTAGCTTAGGTTTAGTCCAATACAATGATAGAGAGTTTTTATAGCTTTTGTGTTATATGTCTGTGCTTTTAACAAAATTCGCGACCAACTTCCCATCATATTCGATTGGCCGTATAAATTAAGTACCTTTGTGTTTTATAATAAACAACTATCACAAACATCAATGTCAAAGCTCTTGTCTTGCTTGGATAGTTACCTATGATGTGGGATGTTGTAATTATTCTATTTCTTTTGAAATGAGAGGAAAATTTACGAATTTGTATTTTGCTACACTCCAGTAAAACACATTAAACTGTATCGCATATAGTAGGCTTTAATTGTAATAAGGTAACGATAAAATGTAATCTTTCTTAGCGATTAATGAGCTCTTAGACATTACCTAATTTATTCTATTTTATAGTTTACCAAGGAATAGTCGCAATGGTATCTGCAGAGGTATGCTCATTTTTGTATCATTGCATCGACCTGATGTTATTCCGCAGAAAAAAAAGTGTATTTAATAGAACATTTTGTCATGTGTAGAGGTTATTTTTTTGCTAGTGACTGTAAATTAATATTATTTTTATTGAATGATTATTTATGCCCTTACAGACGAATATGTAAAATCAATAAATGATCTTTCGGCACAGCTTTGAAAAAAGCAATCCTACATATTTTTTTTTATATTTGTGTTTGACAGATATAATTTCTCATAATATCATCTATAAAAATGCTATAAGCAAAATAGACGAAGTTGCGTTTTCTAAAGTTATTTAAAAATGAATTAACATAAAAAATAAATTGACAAAGAAATTTTACTGTTTTGTGACTTTTTAATAAAAGGGTAAAACTGTACAATATCCCCCACGAATTTAGGGTTTTTGGAGTGGAGGGGTAGAGGAGGCGGTATTACCTATCCAAATAAATTGTAAAAATATTCGAAGTTTGTGGTTATACAAGTGTAAAAATAGTCATACTATGAGATTTTGTGTAATATATGAATCGAAAACTACTGTCCATTCTGTGCATAAATGTTAAAAGATGTAAAAAATTATGTCTTAATATAAAAAAAAAATGGATCTAAAAGTAATCTTAATATATATAACTCTAAGGTGACTGACTGACATAGTGATCTATCAATGCACATCTCATGCGTAGATGTTATGACGTAGGCATCCGCTAAGAAAGGATTTTGACCAATTCTACCCCCAAGGGAATAAAATAGGGGATGAAAGTTTGTATGAAACTTGGTCAATTTTAAACTGATCGGGCTGAGACTTTGCATGCATAAAGCAACTACGACATAGGCAACCCCTAAGAAAAGATTTTGATAAATTAAAAAGGGGGATGAAATTATTTTAGGTTTTCTACATGGTAACACAGTTTCATTTTCTTTGTACTAGCTTTTTTGCCTGTAAGGAAGCAAACTTTGTTTTCCTTTGTCTCCAGCTCAACAAACTTTTTAAAAATTGTCAATAGTGTATGAAAAATTGTTAATTTTCTACATTTTTTTCCTAAAAAACTATGAAGTTCTATTAATTGAAACTTTACACAATTATGTCCTTAATAAAGATCTTTTCAGATTACTAACTTTCACATCTTGGGAGAATATTGTACAGTTTAGCCAATAAAAAGTCTAAGAAAGATTGTAGGCAAATTTTCTTTATTTCTGAAATATGGCCAGTTTCCAAAACAGACTCTAAAATCCAGATATCTTATGAAAATTGTGATTCCACTTCAGTGTACATTAATTGGGGATAAAACTATTCAACCTTAGTACTGTGTAGTGCATAGAGCCTATTTTCCCCTTTTCCCAAAATGTGTTATTTTAGTTTTTAGGATTGATATACCATATTTTATTAATTGCATCTAACATTTTTATTGTTTTAATAATCTCAGGTATCCACAGATAATAAAGCACTAGTGTATACTTCAACCCAAAAAAGGAGGTTAAGAAGGAAAAGGTTACAAGCATCTAAGTGTATAATAAAAAGGAACACAGATATTAATATCATTAACACAACAACACTTGAAACTGTTTCTTCAAATTACGAACTGAATGGAGTATTGACAAATATAGATCCAGAAATTAAAACTTTAAGTCAAAGAAGTAAGACTGAAACTCTTGAGAAACAACCAATTAAGATAAAAATGTCTTCCAATGATGAGAAAAAGTCTAGGGATGAAGTTTTAGCTGCCAGAGAGGCAAAGAAGTTGTCTAAACAAAAAGCAAAAAATAAGGGTGGTGTTGAAGTAAAAAAGGAAACCATTGTAGATACACATAAAAGTGGGATAGAGAAAGACAATAATTTTGTCAATAAAAATGAACTGGAACAGCAAAAAGTGACAAGTGTTAATAAATGTGATGTTGAGCCAGCAACTTCTAAAGGATCAACTAAATGTATAGATGAAGTAGATAGGGCTGCAATAAAACCTGTAGAGGTTAAATTAGATGAAGCTAAAACAAAAGATGAAATCAAAGCAGAGAGAGCAGCAAAGAAAGCTGCAAAGCAAGCGAAAAAGAGAAAAGATGATAAGGGTGACGTAGCGCCGGTAGCTGCTGAAATGACTGTCAAAGACGTTGTGGAGACATTGAAAGATATTGCTAATGTTGCTAGAGAAGTCCAAAATGTTACAGCCAAGGTACAAGCAATCAGTATGGAACCAAAAAAGGTTAAATTTTGCAGTATTTTATCTAGATTTTTGGATATCTAGATTCAAATTCATGCTTATAACAAATTATACATTTTCTGTTAACATTGACTTTAATTAATCCAAATATTTTATTTATAACAAAATAATTATAGGTTCAATCTGAAGACAGTGGTCAAAGTAAAGCTAAGCTAAGAGCAGAGAGGAGAGCCAAGCAAGAGGCACAGAGAGCAGCAAAACAGGCTACAGTACAACAGCAAGCAGTTCCAACACCTAAAGTAGATCCTAAAAGTAAACAAGTTCAAAGTCCAGAATCTCCTAAAGAAGTAAGTAATACACAAATACTGTACATATACTCCTTCTTTGTATTGTATACATAAAAAAATTAAGATATATTTGCAATTATAAATTTTTGTTGTAGGATAAGATACCTAAAGCTAAATCAGTTGAAAAAACTTTGACTAAAAAAAGTCAAAGTGTTAACAGAGTGAATTGGTTTGAACATTTACACATGCAACATGACAAAGAATATCTGACAAACATCCCTATCAATTCAAAGTGAGTATGGTGACTTCATGACAACATCACATATGTTTAAAAAATCCACTGTCCGTGGCACTCTGAAATGGGACTCGAACCCATTACCTTTCGCAATCCGGGCGACTGCTCTAACTGACGAATTTTTCAAGCACTTGTTACTTTCTCGCTACTGCAGAGCATCCTGTTATGTCCTGGGTAGCTCAGTACCTAACCTAACCACATCGGTTCCAGTACCATCTCAGAGTGCCAGGGACAAAGTGGATTTTTTAAGTATTTTTCATTAAGAATATTTTCCAATATAGCATTGTGACTGCAGAATTGATCAAATATAATACAATGAATTTTATTGAAGACATTCATTTTATTTCAGTCTTCATCCTGCTATCATTAAATTGGGTGTACAGTTAGCTACACGCGTTGTGTCTGGCTCAAACGCAAGATGTATCGCTCTACTTGATGCATTGAAGAAGGTATGTTTTTATCGAAACAAAGCATATATTTTTTCTTCAAGCTTATTCATTTATTTTTTCTTCATTTTTTAGATTTATTTCATGTATCTGTAAAATAAAAATATAAAAAGTTGTCTATACCCCCCTTAAAATTTTAATTCAATTTCTGACAATAAAACAGTAGATCTTTTGGGTGTTTCAACTTATATAATCGAATCAATAATACCATATATTGCACATCTATTAGCTTTTATTTTTAATAAGTGCATTAATGAAGAAATTTTTCCTGATTTGATAAAATAATCCCACTTTTCAAGGCAGGGGACATATCAGATCCCAGTAATATCAGACCAATATACTTATTTAAAATCAATTACTTGCACACTTTTCAGTAAATAATTTGCTTCATAAAAATCAGTTTGGTTTTACTAGAGGTATGGTTTTACCTCTGTGATGCCTAGGAGAGTAAACAGGATGATATCGGCATTTTTTGCAATTTATCATAGCATTCGACTGCTTATGAAACTCTATTAAAGAAATTAGAGCGTTATGGTGTGTCGAAAATTTCACTAAATCTAATAAAATTATCTGCTTTTGCTATTATTAAAAAAGTTGTAATTAATAAAGCGAAATCTACAGGGGCACCTACTATGGGCGTGCCTCAGGGATGAATATTAGGACCACTGCTTATTCTTACTAATTTTCTTCACTTAACTGTATTTTTTGTAGATGACACCTTTTAAGTGTTTAAAATTAAGAGGGGTAATGATTGTTTTGACGATATAAATAGTGCTATCGCCAATGTTCTACTTCAATTTGTTAATCAAATTTAAAGCTTAATTCAAATAAAACGAAACTAGGTAATGCTAAAATTTACACCAAACGAACAAGAACAATCTATCTTGTTCTTCTAGTGTAAACAAAAATTTATCTCAAGTGTTTACACCAATAGAATATCTACCAGTAAGAATCCTCATTCTTCTCGAACAAAGAACTAGATTTCTGCACAACGTTTAGATCAAACGAACGGTCATGTAAACGATAGCTATATGTACTCAAATCACTAGAACACAAGAACGCTTTGAAGAGACCGTTCCGATGACCGCGTCTAAAACACGTAAGAATGCTCTAAGCAACAATTGTTTACACGCTCTAGTGCCTTTTACACCAAGCGGACGAGCATTCTTAGAATGTTCCATAGAATCTTTACATACGCAGGTAGAACTACTCACGAATGTTTACACTAAAATAATTTAAAAGAGTGGGTGTTCGCAAGAACACTTTCGAGCCCATGAGCACAAGTTAGCTGATTCGGTCGCCGATCCTAGCGTTTATATTGGTATTTATGTAGTCCAGACATAGGATTCACCACTATGAAGTAAATCACTCATCTTAACACCGACAGCTTCAGGAGATAATGGATCGATCACCGATCGACTGGCCAAAGTTCACAGTAGTGCACTGGTTTCCAAATAAACTGCAATCGTCTTATGTATGGCGAAAACTGTTCTTTGCAATGTTTATTCACGATTAAACACAAAATAGTAAAAATAATTCGATATATCACATCGAAAACCGATAATTTTAACAACTTGAAATATTTTGAACAATAATAATTTTATCAACATTCATGTATTGTTTCGCGCCACCGACAGTGAGATCTTTTTTTATTGGCCGCGGCATCCGTCACCTTTGGGTCGAGATTTGTAGTTCAACCACGCTTTGAGAAATACTATGCCTGAACATTGGGGATATTCGCTCGTTTGGTGTAAATCCGTGTTAATATTCCCTAAAGAAAAGAGAATATGATATGTTTTAAAACAGATGGTGCGCGAGTACTCGCTGCCGGCCCGCACGGAGTTCGGTCGCGGGCTGGAGGCGGCGCTGGGCGCGAGCCTGCAGTACCTGTGGCGGCTGCGGCAGCCCTCCGCCTCGCAGGAGAACGCCGTCAAGTTCCTCAGGCATCACATCACGCAGCTGCCAAACAACGTCGACGAATTCGATGTAACTACACCGTATATACAGCTTTACTGCACTTTCACCTTAAGTACTAGTTCTAGCGGCGGATACCTCTTTATTATATTAGTTAGATATCAAAGGTCAAGGCACATGAATTTTGTTTGACATTGCATCACGATGTAGGTACCTCATTTTTTAAGCTTTCAAAAGTGTACAATCAATCACAAAACATTTTATCTCTGTTTGTCATTTGAGTATCAATTTATGCACTACATACTATATTACCAGATGCAGACCTTCATATTTTTGTATTTATAGAGTTATTTATTCTAAATAGTCAGTGTGTAGATTTGTAATGCATAAAATATTTAATAGCAATATTAACTACACACCTCACTGTGTCGGCTACAAATTCTTATATCAATACACGAACCAAGGTTTTTTGGGCAAAGGCATGGCATAGTCAAAGATTATTTGGAGAAGTGCATAATGCTAATATACTTATGAGTAACGTCAAAAATAAATAAATAATTTTTAAAAATCTTTCATAAATTATCTTGTTGGTATTACTTCAGAATTATTTTACATCTATACTATAAAAAAAACGTAACCGATCGATGTCTGTACATTGAAGATATATGAAAAAAACTGTTATGAGGGACATTTATAAGAGTAATAGAACACAAAACAATGATTTTTAAATTTTTTGTCTGTTTGTCTGTTTGTCTGTGCGTTTGTGCACGATAATCTCAGAAACGGCTGAACCGATTTAAATACAGTTTTCACTATTATATTGCGGCATTCTTCCGTTAACATTTAGTGTAAAAATTATTTCAATCGGTTCACAAATACAAAAGTAATCTCAATTTGAAGTGACGTGGTCGCCAAAATTGCTATGAAATCTTTACTGATTTATTAAATTTTCGTCTTTGATATATTGATCATCATCATTAACTCTTTCACAGCCAAACTGCAGGGCCTCAGGCATTTGTTTAATAATTTTTGGTCACCCATCCCGTGAACAACTCTTTCGAAAATTGCTTTGCAATAGCGATCGTGCGCAGCGGCGCATATCCGTAGAGCCACCGAGCTACTAATTAATATTGTCTATGAAATGATAATTTGTATGATGACAAATAAAAAAATATGATTCCAAAATTTTATAATCCGATGTAAGTTGACCTCATTTATATATGGCCAATCGTATTAAATAGGGATCAGCTTAAAATGGACATGTGGTATATGATCACGCGAGTAGGAGAACATGCGGAAAGAGCCTTCCGATGATACAATTAAGCCTCGAGTAGTTTACAGTGAACGCATATTTTTATCAGATTAGGTTCACGTCGTCGTCGGGGCCAGCGGAGGTGATTGGCAGCCGCTCCCGCATTGCACGGTTTCGTCTGTTTGGGAGAGGCACTCGATTTACCCGAGTCTCTCCAATTTTCCATCTGCAAGGGGACCAATGGTCCAATACATGAGTGTCCTGGTGACTCGGCCATAGCTTGCCGGTTTTCATTTCCCATGAGAAGGTGTAGAGTACGGGTTTTGATGGGTAGGCCTTTGGGGACCCACCGGGCAGCTCACTGTCGGGTTCACGGAGGAGAATCCTACTCACCCCTGTTGTTTGCCACCTGGCACCTAACAGAGACAATGTCAGAAGTTTTTCCACGACGTTAAAAAACTTATATTCACGTCAACTGAAGTTAAGGACGTAAAGACAACTCGAGTTATATTTTTTTTTCTCTTATTGCTATTTTTTATGTTAATACTCTTTTTGTTTTTTTTTTAACATACAAATTGCTGTAGATACGCACTTCAAAGTTGGTATTTTCAGTCTTCGCTGGAAACAATGCTTTATTCACAACACTCATATAATATTACGCGAGTCTGTGGGTCGGTTCAGAGTAGCTCGGTGGCGTAGTGAATAAGCGCCATGGCCCGCGATTGTAGTTGTTAAGCAACTTTCGCAAAGGTCGGGCACAGGATGGATGACCAAAAAATATTATCTCAAGCAACTTCAAGCTTCGGAAAGCACGTAAAGCGATTGGTCCAGGTTGTATTTGTAGTCGTTAATATCCTCCAATCCACATTGGGTCAGCATGGAGGGTCGTGGCCCATCCTCTTTAACCATCCATAAGGAAGGCCTGAGCTCCTGCAGTTGGTGACATAAAAGGGCTGATGATGATGATGATGAGGGCCGTTCAAATCTGACAGAAACTCAGTTAAGCACCTCACGGAAGTATGTTAGTAGACGATTTCCTTCGAGTGTGGAAAGTCGAAATTAAAATATGTATATATTTTTTTTTATATCAATAAATAAAACTCCACGTATCTTCCGTCAGACATGTACTGACCGACTTTTATAGACAAAGAAAGAGATCAGACAGAAAGCGCTCGGTCTCGGGAGACACCTGAAAAACGCGAAGCGTATTTAACTGCCCATCGCGAGGCTCATGCACTATAAAGTTGAATCTGAAGCATTTACATACATGCAGTATGGTATGAGTATGAAACTTCTTTTGATGGGGAAATGCGCTTGGTCTCTTAAAGAGCTCGCAGTTTGCACAATAGAGATCGAGAAAGTAGATTCGATTATCGCCAACCCGTGTTGACTTCATACTCCACAGGCGTACCGCAGATAAGTTTTCACAGGGTATAATGAACTAGCTATTTTCCCACAATTTTGCCGCTAAATTATAGCCTATGACATCTGCGTCTGATGTAGCTTCCCGTAGGTCGGAATCGCTCTGCAACTATCGGTCCAGTAGTATTGGAGCAAATTCGATACAAACAAACAAACAACCAAATCTTTCCTCTTTATAATATTAGTATAGCTTAGGCATAAGGGGTCCGATGGCGTAGTGGGTTAGCGCATTCGGTTTAAATTGCAGTTAAATAAGAAAGTAAATACTGCACAACAAGGACATACATGAATACTTATTTTACATAAATAAGTGCAAACGACAAACTCATCGCTAGCCGGCGATTTCTTCCAGGCAAACTAGCATTACATGAAATATAGAACAATAAATAACCGATTGTGCATACAACTAGACAAGTAATAATAATCTAAAAAGATCGAAATAAAAGAAGGACCGTTTAAAGAATAAAATGCTCAGACACAAGCAACAATCAGAGCGCGAGAAACGAGAAAAAAATTGAAAAATAACATTCGTAAGGACCGTTTACAGGATGGGTGACCAAAACATTATTATCTTGAGCACTGTGCATAACACTGGCATAATGCACGTTAAGGCGTTAGTCCTGGCTGCATCAGCAACGTTAACACCCACCGATACGCATTAAGCCCGCGTAGTGGGTTATGGCCCATTGATCTTATTCGATTCGTCTGCATTCATAGGAAAAAAAGAATTTTCCAAAATACTTCCCACGCAGACGAAGTCGCGGGCACAGCTAGTTCTATAATATGATATGAAACAACTATGTTACAAAATACATTTCGAAAGTATTTTACGCAAGTATTATTATGCTTATCAATTAATTATCATCAATTTAATGTAATAAACATCCAAGGATAACAAACAAAGCATAATAAGTGTTGAATTATCAAATGTAAGTGTGTAAGTAATCGATATAAGGACTGAAGTCCCAGCACATTTTATCTATTGTTTGCGTAAGTGGCTCCTTATAATCCCTACAATATTTTTTTCTAGATAAACAATCGTACCTGTGTATTTTCCATGACACTAATTCAATATTGTAATAGAAATTCATTTTGTAACTTAGTCAACGGCACATTAAATTAGGTATACATATCAAATTGTCCGATTAAAATAAAACCATACAGAATTTGAAATAGAGTCCAATATCGATTTCCGTAATATTTAACCTGTAAAAACTGCTCGCATGTCCGTAATCTACACCTTCTATTGTTAACACTGAAAAGACGCATCTAGACATACATAGTATGAAACTTTAAAACCACACAACAGATAAGCTGATCTAAAGCGATTTTCATAATTGTACAGAGTGATTCAAGTTTATATGTATTATATAAACTTACGAATATGGCCACGTAGGCGAGATCGATGACGGAAAGCTAGCAATAGCTTAATAAGATAGATTGACCTCATAATATAAGGAAAAAAAATATGCAAGCTACGTGTAGCTTTGTTGTAGAACCGAAGAACTGAAAAGGGAAACCATTTAAGATATAAAAATACGACATAGTGAAAGTGACAGTAATAACAGGCACTAGGTTCGGGGGTTGGGTTTGGAAGTCCCGCACCGCACACACTGCCGCCTGTCAAGCGACAGGGGTAGTGCATACATTCCCTTTACGACAAAAAAGGACTAGGAAATACAACATAAAGAATAAGGAGGCATATGTTGTCAACCGAGCTCTCCTTGTAGGATACCGGACTCATCTATCAGCGTGAGGTGAACCTCAGCAGGTTTTTTATCAGGTAGACCAGTCACATTTTCAGGGCGGGGTAGCTGGAGAGACCTGATAAGCCTAAAGTGTATTTCCCGCGTTATAAAAAATTGTAATTTGCTATCAATTATAGTGATAAAAATTAAGAACCATATATCTGATTATAGCTATTAAAAAATAAATTGTTACAGGCAAAGAAAACTCTACAGGAAGAGATAGATCGTTATATCAAAGAGCAGATCGACATGGCCGGCCAAGCCATCAGCATAGCCGTACGCGAGAAGATCTCCGATGGAGATAATATACTCACATATGGATGGTGAGTATCTATAATATATAATCTATATAAATAAAAATGAATTTCCGTTCGTTAGCCTCGCTAAAACTCGAGAACGGCTGAACCGATTTGACAAATTTTAGTCTTGAAATATTAGTGGAAGTCCTGGGAAGGTTTAAACGATAAGAAAATATGACAGAATTGCGAGTATAATACTAAAAACGTCAATTTTTGATTTTCCCATACAAACTGTTCTTAGCTGTCAAACGTTCAGTTGACGATCAATATTTATGGTCGTGTAGTGGTCAGTTTGGTAGGGGAATGGGCTAAGCTGGAGGAGGCCTTTGTCAAAGGACAACCTGGCGGTACAGATGCCGATGTCGGTGGAAAAAACTAAATTGTAACTATAATTGATGTACAAAGTCAGAGAATAAAGGCTATTTTTATTTTTATTTATTTTATTAGTGGTCAGTTTACGCAAGATTTTTCAATATTAATATAGTTTTTATTAAGAGTTAATAAAAACTATAAGCTAGTAAGTAGCTAGCTATAAAAACTGTCAGCTAGTAAATATAAAAAAATCATATAAAAAAAATAAAGGATAAGCAGAACAAAAGTGTATTGCTTTTTTATAATTATGATATAATTGTACACCAACACCGTTCACCATATCATGACAAAAAAAAACATACTAGTTCACAAGAGGACGAACTTAAAGATTTACAAAGACTTTTTTGATTATATGTGATTTAAAAAAATCCATAGGAGTGACTTTAACTAGAATTAAATTCTTGCAATTTGACAGAATTATTGATGTTACTTTGCAACGCGTAAAACATATATTTTTGTTTAAATTTATAAATGTATTTAAGTATAAACAGCAGAGAACCGCACATAAAACGAAAGAGTTGAACGCTAATTGCGGGTTTAACTAAGATTTTATTACGTTTCTCGATCATTCAAATCGTCGTTCGTTCCAAAAGCGACTGCGACTTGAAAAATTTCATAACTTCATCAATCGCTCTCACATGGATTTTAAGATAGGAGAACTAGCACATAGTGTCAGCAGACCGATTTAAATAATAATCGCATCTCAATAGAATCACAATTACTTGCATTTAACTATTGTACTATATACCTGAAGTCCTATATTATTATAAATCTGTCACCATTGACAAGTGAGGAAGACATTGAACTTTTGATAGTACCTAAAGTCAACAGTACGTCAGGCTATAAAAATATGTCAATTTTTTTCACTTGATCTTAATGTTTTGGCAGTAGTGTTCAAAATCAACTGGAGAAATTTGACATATTGTGCTAACCTGACTCGTAGTCGTGTGTACAATGGTAAAATTCAAATACAGTAGAGCGTCGATTATCCGAACGTCGATCAACCGAACGACCGCTTATCCGAACTCCCGACTCTCCCTTCAACAATATTCAATTTCTATAATATTAAATCTGATGACTAATAAAACTGACACCACTTCATCTACTGCAAGTTCAGATAATGAAGATGAAAACATAATTGGTGCTTCAGAAGCGTTTACTTGCTTAGATATTGCCTTGCGTTGGTTTGAAACACAAGTCGAGAACGACCAGTATCAAATATACGTCTTTAAAAAATACGTGACCTAGCCGCTCGTAAACGGGTAGGCTTGCTTCGGCAGACGAAAATTGAAGATTTTTAAGCATTAGTAAATTACACTTAATGCTCTTCGATTTTCGCCAATATTGTACTTAGAATGTTTTGTTGCAAATACTTCAGTTTGTTTTTTAATTCCCATTTTTCAATAAAGATATAATTATGAAGGTCAATAAAAAAATATGTATGGCTATATCAATACAGAAATAACAAGAACAGTTCGATTATCCGAAAAAACTGGTTTTCCGAACACCCCTATCCCCCAATTAGTTCGGATAATCGACGCTCTACTGTAGTTGAAATCCTACTGAGATGCGATTGTAACTGTATATTAATTGGTACTAGTAGTACTGGTATCTATAATGTATGTATACACGTGTGGTGGGCGGGTAGCTCGTCGCTGGTGGAGCGCATCCTGCGCGAGGCGTGGGCGGGCGGCGTGCGGTTCCGCGCGGTGGTGGTGGGCGCGCGCGGCGGGGGCGGGGGGGGAGCGCGCATGCTGCGCCGCCTGCGCGCCCACCGCGTGCCCTGCACCTACGCGGACATCACCGCGCTCAGCTACGTCATGAAACACGTGAGTATACACTCACTCACTCACGACACGTGAGTATCTTTGGGGCGTTTCAACTTATGTTATCAAATCTATAATACCATCTATAGCGCCTCAATTAACTTTTATTTTTAATAAGTGCATTGATGAAGGAACTTTTCCTGATTTAATGAAATATGGTGAAATAATCCCACTTTTCAAGGCAGGCGACAAGTCTGATCCCAGTAATTTCAGACCAATTTCTATAGTACCAGCGTTAAGTAAAGTATTTGAGAAAATTATTTACAATCAATTGCTTGGACACTTTTCATTAAATAAATTACTTCACCAAAATCAGTTTGGCTTTAGCAGAGGTAAATGTACCACAGACGCTGGAATTGCACTTCTCAGGCATATCTATGATGCTTGGGAGAATAAACAAGATGCTATTGGCATTTTTTGCGATCTATCAAAAGCATTCGACTGCGTTAGTCATGAAACACTGTTGGGGAAATTAGAGCATTATGGTGTGACGAAAAATTCACTTAATCTAATAAAATCATATCTTTCTGCTAGAATTCAAAAAGTAGTAATTAATGAAGCAAAATCTGCAGGGGCACCAGTTACTATGGGCGTACCTCAGGGATCGGTATCAGGGCCATTGCTTTTTCTAATTTATATTAATGATCTTCCTCACTTTACGAAGAATTTGTGCGAGACAGTATTATTTGCAGATGACACCTCTTTACTGTTTAAAGTTGAGAGGGGTAATGATTGTTTTGACGATGTAAATAATGCTCTCGACAATGTTCTACAGTGGTTTGATAATAATAATTTAAAGCTCAATTCAAATAAAACGAAATGCATAAAGTTTGCATTACCTAATGTGAGGCATGTCAGTACACTTATAAATATAAATAGTGAAAAAGTTGAGTTAGTAGAATCGACAAAGTTCCTTGGTATTACACTAGATTCCCGACTGCAATGGGATCCTCATATTGATAGCTTGTCAAGTAGACTGAGTTCTGCAGCTTTTGTTGTTAAGAAAATTAGACTCTTGACAAATGTTGAAACGGCAAGATTGGTATATTTTAGTTATTTTCATAGTGTAATAACGTATGGTATATTGTTGTAGGGTTATGCGGCTAGCATTCAGGATATTTTTATTCTACAAAAGAGAGCTGTCCGTGCTATATATCATTTACGGTCTAGGGAATCTCTCAGAGAAATATTTAAAGAAATAAATATTCTGACTGTTGCCTCTTAATACATCTATGAGAATATTATGTACACAAGAAAACATTACGATTCCTTCACAAAAAAAAGTAGTGTTCATAATCTTAACACAAGAAATAAAAATAAACTTGCCGTTCCAAGCTTCAGATTTCAAAAAACCAGAGGATCATTTCTGGGTAAATGTATTGCTATGTTCAATAAAGTTCTACAAACTGTAATTAACCTACCCATAAATAAATTTCAAATTCATGTAAAGAATATACTTATGAGTAAAGGCTATTATAAAGTTGATGATTATTTTAAGGATCGCAATGCATGGAATTGATAGCCTTCGCTTTGTTCTATAAAGATTAATTATATGTTCAACGTATATCCTACAGACTTTGAAAGTAGTATTTATTATAGTGATAATACATATTATTTTGGTAATGACATGATTTATGTAAATGTCATTACTTATGATAAAAAGCTGGTAAGTTTCTTTCGCTTGTTCTTTTTATCAGCTAAAAGACGTCCTGAACAAGTGGTAGGGGAAAAAAAATTTTTTGGACGATTCAAAAGTGCTTGTAATAGCCTACTTGAATAAAGATATTTTCATTTCATTTCACACACGCGGATTGCCCACTTGGCTATTTCAGAAAAAGTATTTCAAAACTTTCTAATTTGTGATCATATTTTAGCCCTATCAGATTTTTCTCAAAAAAATGTCGTTAAATAATGTAAAAACAATATTTTTATTCGTTCATTGGTAATGTGGCATTTTGTGCTGTGACGTCACATTTCAAAAAACACGAGTACCGGTTGCGGATTTGATCTTATTTGATTTGATATATGAGTTAGTTCTCCGTCTTGGCTGCCCGCGTTTCGGTTGATGGAAATCATAAACTAAGAATTCCAAGTTAATTGTGTAAAACTAAAATATTTATTTAGAATTCCTTTTAAAGCAGTAATAATACATTGTAGTTTTCTACTTTCATAGTACTGTATAATAAATAAAGTAAATTATACAACGGATTTTAATGCAATTCTCATTCAATGTACAAATTGATTCAAGAGGAAGGTTTATAATAATTATGTATCGATAAATATATTGATTAATTATTACCAGATAAACTAGTATATTATTATATATTTTCGGATAATTTCTTTCTGACGTAATAAAAGTAAATTAAGTATCGAAAATTAATAAATATGATATCGTTTCATGACAAACGGTGACGACTCAGCTTATGTTGAGCGAGAGCATGCACCTGCCCAACGCTGATTTTCAGTCAGCTCTTTCCCAGAAGGTCAAATGTGGGAATAATAGTATTAAAGGAGTAGCAGTACAAACTAAGCAGTAATAATTTAGCTACGACTACTCTTTTTACAAATAAATATGAATCAGACACCAAGATATAATACTGAATACCTATTAATTGATCAATATTTCATTCAAATTCAAACAATATGATTATATTGGGTTGGCACAAAAGTAATGAGACACACTAGAAAAACATTTCCTTTTTAAAATCAATTTTTTCGATAATATTCTAGAATGTTGTAGAACATTCTAGGTACTTCTGGTGTAGGGCATATAAAGCCGCGCTCGCGATTTGTTTAGTCAGTTTGAAGAAAAATGGACGAGCGACAAGTTCGAACACTATACTTATACGAGTACTTGTTAGGCCACAGTGCGCGGGCTGAGGCTGACAATATCAACAATGCATTAGGCGCTGGAAGTACAAGCCATGCGACGGTGTCCCGATGGTTTGACTGTTTTAAATCAGGAGACAGGAGCCTTGAAAGTCAGCCACGCTCAGGGCGACCACCCGCAGTGAATGATGACGATTTGCGCCGCGAACTGCAGTTGAATCTGGATGCTACCACTCGTGAATTAGCGGAAGCACATAAATGCAGTCACCACGCCGTGGAACACCATCTGCATGAGCTTGGTTATCGAAAAGTTTTGGCTCGGTGGGTACCGCACATCCTTACAGACGCCAGTCGTGCAGTCCGTGTCGCTATCTGTCAGTCACTTTTGCTGCGACCCCGACGAAAAGAGTTTTTGTCAGATCTAGTTACTGGAGATGAATCATGGATTTATTACGAGAACGATACACGTCGTGCTTTTTGGCTGCCTCGAGAAGAAACGCCACCAACTCAACCGAAGCCGAGTTAAAAGAACCGCCGAAAAATTCTGCTTTGCTGTTTCTGGGATGCGCAAGGCATACTGTTTTATGAGCTATTACACAATGAAACTATAAACGCTGATAAATATTCAACCCAGCTTACCAAATTATCTGCCGCTATCAAGAAAAAACGACGAAGACGAGTCAATGTAGTTTTACTGCACGATAACGCTCGACCTCACGTCGCATCTGTGGTTCGCCGGCAGTTGGAGAACTTGGGCTGGGAGACGATACCCCACCCACCTTATTCCCCAGACCTCGCCCCATCAGACTCTCATTTGTTTAGAGCCCTGAAACAGCATTTGCGGGGTAAACAATTTAATGATTTCTCTGACGTAGAGGCGGAGTTGAACAACTTTTTCGAGGCACAGCCATCAGAGTTCTGGGCAAAAGGCATCCAAACTTTGCCGGATCGTTGGCAAGAAGTCTTAGATACTAATGGTAATTACATCATTGACTAAACTTTTTTTATTGTAATAATAATAAAAAAGTAAAAACTTAAACCAAGTGTCTCATTACTTTTGTGCCAACCCGATAATTTAACACTTTGTGCAGATCACGTATTATTATTGTGTATGTGTGTGTGTTTCTGAGAGACTCTGTGTGGCATAGACCATTAGAAATATTGTCTTAACGCGATAGTGTTCCAAGAGGCATGCCTTAAGTGTTCCGCGGCTAGTTGTCGTTTTAATGATGTGTAATCGGGGATAGTGATAGGGATAGTAGCTCGGTGGCGTAGTGGATAAGCGCCGCGGCCCGCGATCGTAATCGTTAAGCAACTTTCGCAATGGTCGGTCACGGGATGGGTGACCAAAAATTATTATCTCGAGCTACTCCGTGCTTCGGAAGGCACGTTAAGCCGTTGGTCCCGGCTGCATTTGCAGTCGTTAATACCCTCCAATCCGCATTGGGCCAGCGTGGAGGGTCATGGCCCATCCTCCTTAACCATCCATAAGGAAGGCCTGAGCCCCTGCAGTGGGGACGTATAAGGGCTGGTGATGAATCGGGGATAGTGTTCCAGGAGGCATGCCTCAAGTGTACCGCGGCTTGTTGTCGTTTGAACGATGTGCGATCGTGTCAGGTGAACAAGGTGATAGTGGGCGCGAGCGCGCTGCTCGTGAACGGGTGGGTGGTGGCGGGCGCGGGCACGGCGCAGGCGGCGCTGGCGGCGCGCGCGCGCAACGTGCCCGTGCTCGTCGCCTGCGAGACGCACAAGTTCTCCGAGCGCGTGCAGACCGACGCCTTCGTCTACAACGAGATAGGTATACACCCCGCCGCTTCGGCGTAGGGATGCTCTCGTTCTATCGGATGCCTTCATTTTACATAAAATATCGCACGCACAGAACGATACTGTATTAGTCGTAGTCGGGTAATGGTGCAGTGTTGATCTGGGTGTGCGATATGGTCAGGTCTCATTCGATTCGACACCGAGTACTTTTGTTTCGATACCAAATATGTATAGCAAGATTGATTCGATGCCATAAATACTTGGTATCGAATGAAAAGTATCGAGCGCATACTCGTATTTACTAGTATCGGAAGATCCCTATTTCGGTGACGCTCAACAATCGGTACCGTTAGTAAATAAACAATGGTCGACGAATACACTCGTCTAGTTGGCTCGTGTTGAGATCGCATATAATTTTTGGTATAGTTGACTAATATAGCTACTGTGATTAGGATTTTCACGATAAGTAAACATAATGTCACTAATAATCAATATATCTAATAATAATAACTTTATTTATAAATTTGTCGGTACAGTGATTCAAATTACATTCTTTAACAAGGTAATATAATATTTCTCATCTGCAGGTATAATGAAATAACGTGAGCCACCGGATTAGGGTTTCTTACTTACTATTAGTGTTTTTACGCTCTCTTATTTCATTATTACATTTGGTTATGTTTTAAAAACAGTGCGTTAGCAATTTACACGACTTATGCGGCACGCGCTACAATCGACGCCTGTCACCTTTTTTGAATTATTCTTCCTTAATTATTTAATTATTATTCCTTATAAAAGCGCGTTGAATAAACAAACTCTTGCTTTATAATATTAGTATAGATAAATAAATATAGACAACATCATATACATTGCTGAGATTTCAACACGAGTAGCTAAAGCCTCGTAAGCTAGAATATAGAGTAGACAGAGACCAAGAAGGTACTACAACACCCAAACATAGATAAAAAACAAACAAGTAATAATATTATTTTAAGACATGTAAAAAAAAAACTAAATGCTCCTTTCTTTCAGGGGATCCTGACGAACTGATCGACAAATCGGATAGCAATTCCCCTCTCAAAGACTGGCGGTCGAACCCCAACTTGACGCCTTTGAACCTGACGTATGACGTCACACCGCCCAGCCTTGTCACCGCTGTCGTCACCGAACTCGCCATATTGCCCTGCACCAGTGCTCCGGTCGTACTAAGATTTAAACTTTCTGAATATGGAGTTTAAATCTCTTTAATTAATACCTTCCTTTAGTTCAAATGACACTTAAACACTTTAATTATTGGCTAGCGTTAATTATTAATATTTAAAAATATTACCCTTTTTCTCCCTAAAAGTCTTCGTTAGAAAATATACAGGTGAAACATAACCTTCTCTAATAGCTGAGCTACCACTCGGTACAGTTAGTTCCAACTGTTATGGCGCATGATTTATCTTCGCTATCAATTCTGAAGAACGAACGTACGTTTAAAAATTATAGCGAATCTAAGGCGTAAAATACAACTCATTAGGTGTCCTTCTCTCTCACACTCGGGCAGACTTGGGGGAGTACATATCGGGGGATCGTCTAATGGCGTGATAATTGAATCATTCTGATTGGTCGACGTTTGTCACGCTTCGAAATTTAACACTGCGCAGGTACATCTGTGAGTCACATCAGTTGTATCTTACTGTACATATATTTATAGTTTTGAAGCTATCAATCATTTGAGTTTCATTGTGGTACTGGATTTTACAAATTAAATAGCCTTACCTATGTAATTATATTGATACATTTAAAAACTGTTATGTGAAAATTTTATTTCGATCTTTATTATATTCATGTATTACGTTCCTAGTTGTCCAGTTAGGTACAGACAACAGCATGTCAGTCAGTCGTCTGTACAAAACTGTCAAATTCTTTACATTATTATAAACCTTCATTATTTATAGTTAGAATTCAAATCAATTGAGAAAATTTGAGCGTGACGTGCAGCTGTGTGTGTGCACATAAAGCAAATTTATATAGATATATATAAAAACAAACTATTTACATTAATCCACACAAGTTACAATCTTTATTTCAAGTTTCATGTATATAAGATTTTTACGTGTATATTCTTGTACTACTTTCAAAACAATAAAATTACGTTTGATCTTTAGTGTGTTTTATTATTTTTGGTAAGTAAATGGGATATTGATTTTATATTTAAAAAATGAGAGGAGCGATTTTAAGTGCTGCCGGGAATAAATCGACACGCTCTCTGTGTACTCTGTCTGTTGTTGAAGTAATTTGTAATAGATATTAATTTTGAAAGGTAGTCTTTTATATGGATCACTCACACTGAACATTATGAATCAACCTTTTTTATCATATGAATTCCTAAGACTTTTTTTTTTACTTTTATGTTTTGATAAATATTTGGTAGCACATTGATACAGTAAAGATGTACTAAAAAAGTCCAGGATTGCAGGACAATGCCATGTCATTAAGGGCTTTTCCTCTATTATTGGTTACTTTTCAGAAGGATTTCAATGTTAAGTAGTAACCAACCATTCTGACATTCATCCCTTACCTTCTTAACAAACAAAACAAAGGTTATAACATAGAATAAGAAAGGGGATTAATGTTTCAAAGAAAACAAAAAAGTCAAATAAAATTACTTTATTTGTATTCATTTACATTCACCATTATGAAAATGAAAAAGACAATTGAATGTTACATTCATACTTATACACTTATTATAGTTATAAGTTACTCCTTATGATGTTCAGACTTATGGATAGAGAAATCTAATCTTACATAAATAATAACACACAAGAATAGTGCATATAAAAATCCAACAACAAGTAAAGGCTCTTGCAACATGAGCAAACGGGGGAATGTGTATCGCAGTTGGAAGTCTTGAATATGATTTTCAACAAGGTTGGTCTTTTTAAATGTTATCACTGGACGGCCTTTGGTATCTAAATATGTGTAATGAAGACTGTCTGCAAGTCTAGTAACTGGATATGGTACATTGAGTTTAATGCCTGTAGAACCTTCAGGTAAGATTATCTTTGTTGTTAACTCATCAACTTGCATATCATCAAATATATGGTCTATGACTCTCATTTTCAACAAATAATCATTACCAGAATGATATAAATACTCATAACTAGGCACATTATACCCTAAAGTATAATGGGTTCTCCATCCCCCAAAGAGTGGATACCGAGGTCGAAGATCTAATTCAACAGAATCCTTTTTAATTTTCATATTGGAAGTAGATATGTTTCCATTTGTGTCGCGATAGTACACATCAGATGCAGATGCCGGTAAGAAAGTTTTGTAGGATCTGACACTAGCAGGGCCACTGTGATGGTCTTGTTGATAATCGTAGCGAGAGAAAGGACCCTTCAGTTTAGCACCAGTATGTTCCACTTCTATGAGTTCTTCAATAGCTATATTGCCCCAGTGAGATACCTCAATAAGTCTCTCAATACGGGTCACTGTTAGGAAAGGAGAATTGTTTTTGTAATGGACACTCAATTCCTTCTCAGTAAAGGGAGCAATGTTGGAATAAGCTCCATACTGAATTGTGCCGTCTTGTTGGGAGAATGGTTTGATTTTCGTAAATGATTCAACATTTTTCGTATTTATTACAACATTAGTTTTTTGTGACGTGACATAGTATGGTGAATATACATATAGGTTGCCAGTATACTTAACAAGTTGATCTTCTTGTTGGGTAATGGCAGTAGGATAAGGCTGAAGAGCTTTTGTAAAGACCGTGTCTGTCGTGATCGAGACGGTAGAACCGGCATTTAGGGTTTCTTTCAGTTCAACACGCCAAAACTTGACATTATCGTAGCCTTTAACTGTGGTCTCCGCAATACGTAGATCTTTATTACTATTGTCTTTAGCACCTACAAAGGCTAGATTATTTTTGGTCGAGGCTTCGACGGCCAAAAGAAAGTTTTTAACCGGTGATTTACCACTGTTCTCCAAGGTTATTTTCGATGTAATTTTTACAAGTTGTGAAGTGAGGTCTATCGTTCGATCCACATTTTTAAATTTAACATCACTAGATATATTATCCACACTAAGTGATTCGCTTTTTATTACAATGTAAAGCACGGTTACAATACAAAACAAGATTTTCGTCGTCACCGGCATTGTTACACTTTTGACATTTGACAGACAACGTCTTCGATGGTGGGCGGAAGTACACGCCATCATTTTTCGTTACTTAGCCGGAAATACATCATTTAGACATAACTCATAAACTAATATGTCTATGGTCACAGGCAGCCGTAATATGAAGTTTGCGAGTAATTCGCGAGTATGTCGCGCAATTTAATATGCTCTGTCCCTACCTATTTGCCGTGGGCAAAGAGATAGAAAGGTGTTTTGAATTTCCACTCTAAGTTTTCGCATTACGCTTATTAATAACTAATGTGTGCGTTATTCATTTATCATCTGTGAAATTTTTATGTCGTTCTTGTTACCACCCAATGCTTAATTTAATAAATCAATTTCACGAAGTGATATATTGATAAAAATCATACAATTGATATTATATTAACACAATAACTTTATTCACATTGCCTTGAAAACCATATCGATTCGTTAAATTTATCAAAAAAATGAAAAAGCAGACCTCACTATTTAGTTCAGATTGATTGACGTCGAATGTGACTTTATATAATGACTCAACTGTATTTCATGAGTAACAGCATTTCTTCATACAATTTACTAGATATTAATTGCATCGCATCGAGCCATGAATAAAGAGCCTTATACTCAATATAATAAGTTTTTCCTTGTTTGTGCTGAGCGAGTATGAGAAAATGATATCACAGCAGCGAGAGGCGACCTCGCATCATGCACTTAACTTAAAAATTGAATATCTTGAAAATCATACGATGTATTGAAAAAATATTTTTAATAAAGGTGTAACTCTATCAACAGCGTAAAAATAAAAAAGCGATGACATTCCTCACTATATAAAACTACTGAGACATTCGTGAATTTGTAAATACATAGTTTGAACACAATTCTTCAAAGTTTCTTTATAGTCTTGAAATAGAACCATCATTATGGTATCCAAAAAATCCTTGTAGAATAAACGACGTACGCTTGACTTAAATTAAAAAAAATATCGATTATTTTTTTTCGGCATCATAAATTATGTTAAAGTAAGTCTAACAGTTTCGGGATCCAAAATTTCATTAGACTATTTTGTAAATGTGTGCTTAAACTTTCATAATATGTCTGGCGCCTGCATTAAGAAAATCGATATCAGGGGTATGTTCCGATATACACTGCGAGCACTGCGCAGTGGTCTTACTGCTGAAAAATCCGTTCCGTTATGGACTGCCAGTACACTGCTACAGTACCGTAGGGAAATTTATGACGTCATGAATTGCCGCCATATTTGTACTGTGAGCACTGGAGGTTTCGAGGTAAGGTGCTCGCAGTGCTTTTGACCACGTGATCAGTCGAAACAGATAAAATAAAATACTTACGTTTATTATAAGATGGATTTAATTGATAAATATTTTTTTATACAATTTTCCAATTTTATAATATTTTCTTTTGAAAAGAGGGAATCTTTATATTTATATTCACCTTGCATTAACAAATTTGAAAATGGCGCCAAAAATAGGATTAACAGTATACTGGACTGCGTTCCGTTTTAAAAAGTCACCAGTATGACTAACTATAAAGGAACGGGCTTCCAGTATACTAAATTGACGGCATACTGTTCAGTGGTCGCAGTGTATATCGGAACATACCCCAAATAGATGTCACTCAGTTGGCATCAACTGTCAACATCAAAATTTCTGACATTTGATAAATGTAAGCAGAAGATTATCCTGTCTGTGGTGGTAATTAATTAAATCTGTAAATTTCGTTTAATTTATTGTATTTGTGAACAAAATTGTGAATTATCTAGGTCTAATTTTAAGAACTTTTTCCCCATTTAATATTAGCCCCTTAGCCACCATGGGTACATTGCTCCGTATCCTTTTTACCCTTATAGGTAAGAAAATACTAGTTTAGAGGTTAAGGTTGTTTTTTGTCAAGTAATTGATTAAACCGCAATTTAATATGTTAAAAATGAAAATTATAGATGTAGACATTCTGAACAATTTATTGTTAAGCTGAAGCCGGTATGTCAACGGTGTTAGAAAAGCATAAATTAACTTAACCTACAATTTGTGGAATGTACCTCAAATATTAATTTTAATCTAAAATTAGTATATCTAACTGTACATTAATTGTTACCCTATCTAAAATACCCAATTTCTTTACCATTTTCAGTGATTAACCAATTAATATTGCACATCACAGCATTACGAAGTTCTCGCGGAGGTACTAAATACATATACGACAAATCAACCAAGGGAAACGATCCGAAGACATATGTTGGTGCATCTTCTGGATTACCATCTCAAAGCACTGCCAAAAAAGGACTAGGCATATCTGCTTGGGGTATTGTAGGTGTAGCTATCACCATCATCCTTGCGGGAACTGGTTTCTATTATTTCACTATGTGCTATCCTATTTTATGTAAGAAGCAGAGAAAGTATGATATGATAGGACTGCCCAGTGTGGCATAAAAGTAGATCAAGAAAATTGAGTATCTCATACATATCTTACTATTTTGTAATTGGGCAATTCCATCTATTTATTTCTTAAAATATTCTCAGCTCTTTTTTGATGTAAAATGAATTCATTCAAACAATAGTATTGTAAAACTAAAGACTAGATATTTTAATGTTTGTAATGTGAAATGTATGCCTTTGTATAGTATGTACTTTGAAATATGAAAAAGAGTGTTAATCCAATTTATGATATTTAATAGTTCATAAAGTAAAGGAATCCTTATTATTTTTGTAAATAATGCTGTTTCATGGCTAAATGAACTATAAATAACATAACACAAAAAAGGTTATATGCATTCCAAAAAATATTAATTTTCCATATTGGAGTACAATATATGGTGTGTTGAATGTTATGCCACTTGTATGAATATTTGTATGTATGTATTATGAACATTCACAAGAAATATAAGACTGCTTTGGACCAATGCTGATGAAGCTCAATATTTTTGAACTGCTTATAGCTCTTATTGAGGTATGCCTTACCACAAGTGATAAGCGCTGACCTTGAACAAAGTTTAGGTTGATTTTACAAAAAGTTGCAAATGGTGCTGTGTGACGCACAGATTAGTTTTATAATTTTGGTCAGTGTTCATTGCGTGTGGTTCAGCCTCTAGTTAAATATTTTGCATATCATAGATGTAAGTAGTTTTGTAAGGATTTTGTAATATCACTTATCTAATAATTTTGTTGAACTCAACAAGTTTTCATTAGAGACAAAAATTTACTATCTTATATGATATTAATTAACAGATAAATATTCCATAAAATTAATGTGCGTTGTGATACACTATCAAAGATATGACTGAGTGTTGTGATAAATTTAAAATTTTCTTTAAATCTTTAGATGTGGAGTATGAAAGTTTGAACATCATTTATATGGTTAGGACTTACTCTGTATTGTGAGCTAAGCAAAAATTATGAATGTTGCTTAATATAATTAAAATTCAATATAACCTTAATAGTGCCATGGAAATTATAATATGTGGTAAGCAACCACAATTACGGTTCTCCATGTAGCCAAACAGAACAAATAGATTATGTTATAGGTACCTATTGAGAACAGTATTATATAAAAGATAATGTAATAGTTAATATTTTGGATTTAACAATCAGACTTTAGATTGTAATTCTGTATTTTTTTTACAACTTTTGTTGTATTCTTTAGATTAATTAGGCATATATTACTTTACATGATATTATTGAAATAAATATATACTATGTATAATTGTTTTTCATCTTTATAAATTGATTCATAATTCTAAAAAATTCGGATTCTTGCTAGATGGGTCCCTGAGTATATAATAACAACACATACAATTCACATATTAACATTTTCACTTTGTATTAGAATTGTAATCACTCTGAAATTGTTTTAAACTCACCTTCCCAAAATCAAAGAAACAGTATAAATATCCTTGCCTCTAAGAAAAGATGGTGGCATGCCATAATCGAATATCGCTATACCTGTTTTGTTTCGGTCTGACGCTCTATATGTGGGACACTTTATCTTTTTTTTTTATTTAATTCATTAAGTATTATGGTATTATAGGAGCTCTGGATTATAATTTTTTTGTCATCGATCTTATGACTGTCCTTTGAGTAAATTGCTTAACCTTTGTGTCGCAGCCCAAATGCGCTAACCACTGTGCCATCCTAGACTTCAACAAGAGCTATTTGTAAACCCAAACAAAGATTTTCTCAGCAATTTTTTATGATGAACTGATTTCGACGAGTCTTTTATAACGAGAAATAAAATCCAAAATATTTTATTAAAATTTATTTTGTTAAGTAATGATATTTCACAGCATTAATTTAAATAAATATAAAATGTATCTATATAAAAATGCTATCAGTACTTCAATGGAACATGAAATAATTAGATTACAAAAAATACCTGTGATACTTTAAAAGGCTTATATTAATACTATAAATTCACTGATCGAACGTAAGTTAATTTATTAAGTTAAAGTGCCTTTTTCATTTAACTCAAAAAATCTGCCATTATTATGAAATTTGTGTGATACTATAAATAAATAAGTCATATAAAAATAATCCCTATATTTAAAATCCTATAAGGACTATTACTAGAATCAACACTGGAGCACGGAATATTCTTTATAAATGCATATACGTAAAAACTTATGCAATAATTGCCCTTGTTTTTTATTAAACTATATCTCGCATTTAGGCGATTTCAAAACTTTATTGCGTAAGACTTGAAAATCACTGAAAATATAAATATGACAGCACAAATCAGCCACGGACATAGGCGTAGTTAGGGGGGTAGGGGGGGAGACCCTAGAAAGCTGTAGGCCCACTCTAGAAGAATATCCTCCTTCATACATAAAATAATTATTGACAAGATAATGAAAATGGCTGCGGCCATGCCCCCCCTAGGAAAAATCCACAGCTACGCCAATGGCCACAGGAATATCCGTAAAACCGGTTGATTCATTCTATCATCAGCCTTGGAACAGCGCAACGGGCGCTCACAGCTCGTCCTTCTCGAGATCGACGTCAGATAGATCGATATCTTCTTCGGGCGGGAGTTCCCCGTCCTTGCCGTCCCAAGGTTCGGTTTTGACGATGGCCGGCATTTGAGCACCCTTCACTGGGGCCGTCTGACCGCGACCGAACGACAGATCTCTGTAATGACAACATTAATATTATTCACTAGCTGTTTGCCCGCCTAAATCAACCGCGTATTTTCTAGATTCCTGAAGGTGAAAAAGTAAATTATCTCGAGCACCAAATTTAACCTAGTGAACTGTTGTTGGTACCAAACACTAATAAAATTGGTATTTTTTCAGATACTTTTCTAACATAAAAGTAACAACTTAAGATATATATATTATAAATCAATACACTATATAAAACAAAGTCGCTTCCGTCTGTCTGTTAAGATCTTTTAAACTACGCAATGGATATTAATGCGGTCTTCATCAATATACAGAACGATTCAAGAGGAAGGTTTAAAGCTAAATAGCTAATAGCTGGCAGAAAGCTAGTATATTTCTACAGTTGTAATATAAAGTGTTTATTGTTGAGTAGCTCAGTGGCCTGGTGGATAAGCGCCGCGGCCCGCAATCGTTGCTGTTAAGAAACTTTCGCAAGGGTCGGTCACGGGATGGGTGACCGAAAAATTATTACGCCGTTGATTCCGGCTGCACTTGCAGTCGCTAATACCCTCCAATCCGCATTGGGTCAGCGAGGGGGTCATCGCCCACCCTCCTTACACATCCATAAAGAAGGCCTGAGCCCTTGCAGCAGGAACCTAAAAGGACTGATGGTGTTTCTTTCGTCCTTCTTTCGTTCTCACCAATTAATTATCATTTACAATTAAATTACTTAATCATATAAATTTAGTCATAAGTATTCATTCAATAAAGTTAATATAATTTAAATAAGAAAAATGTAAACGTATATCGTCCTGAAATATATAGGTACTAAGTTCTACCTGTTGCGGAAAACCTAGAAACGGGTTTTTCTTATTACCCACTGATACATCAAATTTTAGCGGGCCAGTTTTTTGATCCGTGGTTAACTCAACCATTTGTTAAAATCCTTGACAAATGGTTAAATATCAGAAAAATATGTTTTTTGATTAATAGTTAGCCTAACCAATTGTCAGAATTACAACCATTTGTCAAAAAATTAAACCATCACTGGAAGCTAGGTTAAGTAAATGACCAATGGTTAAAAGAACAAATGTACAACTGCATTGTATTTTATAACCTACATGATTTCATAGTGAATTTGGATATTAGCTATTTTTGGGATTTCGTTTTATGATGCAATTTCATAGGAAAATATTCATTGTCATTTTTGGGTTTTAGGGTTATTGAAAATAAGTTATATTTTTATCTTGATCATCCTTAGTATATTTGTACAATATAAAATAATTTTCTTGTTTTCACGTGCATATGCCAAATTATTCAATTATTTAATTCTTATAAAATCCACGAATAGACCATACAAAAGGTAAATATGCCTACTGTACATAAAATACATAGACCTCGATTTATTTTCCAACATTATAATCCCACCTTGGATACTAGATACTATATTGTTTTCACTTATTTCTCTATAAGATAAATAAAAATCAAATATATGCTTTTTATAAAAAAATTAAGTTTAAAATAACTCGAAAATATTTTATCTTTATGCTTTCTAACTTTATTAAAGAAATTGAATTATATTTCCTGAAAAATAATACATAGTGCATACAACAGAACAACCATAAACATCCACACTTTCACACTTTCACAATTTTATAATCTATAGATTTCTTTCGTCTATTTGATATTTGGAACAAAATCCTAATGTCAAAAATGGTATATAGTTCGCTCCGTTCATTCAAACCGTTAGTGTTGTTACCCAGAAAAAAATTACCCATGTCAATGTATAGCGAAAAAACGACTCATTGTGCTGGCAACAAATTGGCCAGTGGTTAAATTTGGCTATGGTTTAATTTAGCATCAAAAAACGTAATAGCGAGTTAACAACTTGTTAATGTTTTGACTATAGTCAAGTTAACAAATGGTGAAATGACATTTGACTACGGATCAAAAAACTGGCCCGTCTGGCTTTTATTAATTTGCCTAAGCATCGAACCGAGCGCCATACCTGAGGAACTCGTTGATGCCAGTCTCGGAGAAGGAGCCGCGTAGTGTGGAGAACTTGAGCTTCTTGGCGTTGACGACCGCCATCGCGGGGTACCCGAACCCGCCCAGCTCCAGCGCCTCCTCCAGCTGCGGCTGCGCGCCCGCCTCAGCCCACACCCACCTGTATACCATACCGTACCGTGTCACCATACATCATATCACAAGGGAAATACATTCATGGGCTGCGAATTGCGTTTACACAATTCCGCCAATGTCACGTTTGTGGTCTTTACACGTAAAGAAACAATAATAAAATATGTCAATTTACAATTCTTTGTACTGGAGATGCAAAGGGATTTAAGCATACACAGTTCTAATTTTTATGTTTGATCAATTTTGCGTTCACATTGTTTTACTAAGAAAACATTTTTCATTACGAATATCTAGTTCTTTTCTTGAGTGATGCATTAAAGATGCTTTATCTTATAGTATTATTTAATATATGAATTACAGTGATTACTAATTTATTGTTATCTAGACTTGAGTAAATCCCGGTGTATGAGTACTCCACTCACCCCCACATCTTGCTCTTGTACTTGTCCCCGAGGCGCTGCAGCACGGCCACGTACTGGTTGCGGCAGGCGGCGTCGCAGTCCAGTATGTGCGGCAACACGGACACCACGCACAGAGGCTTCTCCGCACACGCCTTCATACTATCCTCGTCCACCACCTAGTTATTACAGATCATATATTTATTTTCAATGCTCATAAAGCGCTATTTTTTTAATCCATTGTAAACACCGAAAGAGAGTCTTTAAACACTAGTTAAATAAAAATGTACTGAAATCCTTTACTGCACACATGCTTAAAAGTATTTATTTTATTTTTTTGGCCAAGCACCAGAGAAATTTAAAAATTTGATGTTAATATGTCAAACTTTAGAGGCAAAAGTATTTCAAGGAGCCTAGAACCTTAAAAAAAACACCAAGAGTGAAACCGAATAAAGGCAGATCGGGCCCGTAGCACCCCCACCCCCCCTTACCGAATAACACAACACACCTAATTTGTGACTTGAGTTTTATTTGTACTTCAAAATATGACCATTTCGTAGTTTTTCTAGTGTCATTTGCAAGACTCATAGATTGAAAACCATTATTTTAAAATGAGAAAATAAATTTTTATTAATTAAACTTTATGTTTTTTATCATATCTGAACGACAAGCACAGAAAGCAACGCCACTTTGTCTCCGACCCACATCACTTTAAAATTTAAAATATTTTTTTACAATTTCAAACTTTCATTCGGTTTATTATTGCACTTCTCATAAATCAATAGACTCAAATTTCTATTTGATGTCTTATTTATGGAGTACAATTACAATTCATGCTCTATTTATATAAATAATTAAAATACTTTACAGTACCTAAATCTAGTATCCGTAACTGAAACTATTAGAAACTACCGGATAATCCGAAAAGAAATCATATTTGTAACCGAAACCAATCTCGTACCTACACTAGTTTTTATATTTGTTTTTTTTTTATGGGCATCGTTTCAGGGTTTTGCCTAAGGCGTCAAAATCCAGTGTTGTGCCTAGGGCGGCAAGTTTTATTGACCCGGCGCTGCGATTTCGAGGCTAGTTTTATTACAGAATAGTATAGCTGGTGTGCCGAGGTTCATTAATGTATTATGATAAAATCAATTCTAACATTAATTTCATGCCCGCCCCCTTCCGCACGGTCAACGAGAATTTTAAACAAACAATCAGATCTTTCCTCTTTTTAATAATTATTAGTATAGATCGTCTGAAATCAATTAACACGCATTGCTTCGAATGTTTTGAAAACGTGTACACGGCGTAGGGAATGTAACCATAAAATTTTTATGTAAAACAATATCATGATGAAGTTTATGACCGAACGCAACCCAGTTTTAATTCGAAACGCTCTTTAACATTATACGCTTACGAAAATGTTCATGCGATTAAAACGTGTTGAAAAATATGAAATTAGCCCGGTGTCGTTTTAGTTTATAAAACAGAATGGGTGTTTGCAAATAATATCAAGTCTATGATAAATAAAACACGGGAGTTATTTGTAATTCGATAATGACTAATAATAGCGTTCCCTTCGATCGGTTTAATAAACATTTCGTTATAAATGAGCGACATTTTCCAGTAGTCTTCGTCGTCGTCTCCGAGAGTAAAGTACTATAATAAACTAAGTGTTTGTGATTGATTTAATCAAGTTAATTTTGAATTATTTTATAACAATAATAATGTAACATTGTAGTGTTTATAATTTTTCAGTTTAACAGGATAAATTAAATTTACTACTAATTTGTAAGTTTATAACAGCTGTTAGTGGCATTTCATTGCCTTTATTTATTCAGATTTTTTGTTCATGCACCAATTAACCAAGTTATTCTATTAATTAAAGTCCGACGATTTTATGGAGACAAAAAGTTTTAAAGATTGGGTGAATAGTGCATATTTACTTTACTTTTCCCGTATTTCACAAAGTATTTGTTGTCTTATCTTGGATAATTGTAATTTAAATATCAGATTGTTTCATTAACATGCAGAAAGAGCTTGGAAATATTATCTTTGTAGATGTGATCAAATTACAGTAACGTTGTAAGCTCCTCCAGTCGAATAAATTATAAAATAAAAACTGATTGGGGAATAGAGGAACCTGACAGTTTTAACTTATTTTAAAATTAAGTCAACATTTAAATCAGTATAATTAATAAACAAGTAATTAATGTTTCATACTGGGAAACTCAAAAACGAGGTCCAGAACGAGGCCTTAGACTGACCTGAATGATTTCCGGCGGAGGCACGTTTTCAGCGAGCTTTTCGAGGGCCCACGTGACGATGTCGCTGGAGGTGCGGCCGCCGTTGTAGTCCTCCACCGAGTCGGCGCCCTTGCGGCCCGCCGGGAACAGCTTTATGGTGGGGTACCCCTGCACCTGGTACCGGGACGCCATCGACGTGTGAACTGTGGCATCGAGAGCGCCCACTTTCACCTAATAACAAAACAATTATTCAAATTTAAAGAGGTAGTGTTAAAAAAAGGTACAATTCACACAGTCCTGAAAATTCTTGATTGGAATCGATAACATCAAAATAGATAATGATAGTAATTATTCTTCTTTTACAAGTACTTGACTGAAATTAACGGTTATAAGAAAAATATATTTAAAAACTTAAATATTTAAAAAAATTAACTAACAATAGACAATGTCTTTTATTAAGTTAGTAAAAAAATTGAACACTACAAATGTCCCAAAATACGTAGCGACATCTAGTGTGTATATGAGAACTACTTTTTTGATACTTCTTCAAAATAGGAAAAAGACACCGTTTTAAGAATATGGGTAAAAATTTTCCTCAATCATAAAGTTATCTATAAAATTCACTCTAGATCGATATATATAGATCTATGGTTGTTTACAGTGTTATTGGCTCAGCTATCGGATTATATAAAAAAAAACAATATTGAGGTTACTAGTAGGCTATGGATTTTAATTGCATTGTGAAACACAAAACTGTGTTTTTTGAGTCAAATAAATTCACAGTGAGATGTACAAAACGGAGAGTAAACAAATTATCTGTATCTTTTCAAATTAGTTTTTTAAGTTGTTATAAACATGGAAACAGTTTAGTTTGAAGTACGGTATAATCATTTAATTACGACTCTTTATATTGACTCACTGCTTAATATGAATTACACAGTTAACTTTGGTTTTTATATAAAATGGATTTTAACGACTTCACTTATAATGCAATGTTGCTTATTGTGACGTATTTTTAAATAATCATGTGCGATTATAGCAACTGATTCACAAGCACTGGGAATTTAGGTTATTTGACATAGATCAATTTGTTGTCACGCCTGAAGTACACATAATACAAAATATTAATACATTGGTTTAAGGAATGCATAATTAATGAACAAACTTATTTCAGCAGGCTCTGACATTTCTGAGCAGAAAAACATATTACATTGTTATTTAGTAACTTACAACCATATACTAACCTTGCCTTTCAGCTCAGTGGCAGCTTTGGCCCAATGTGGCTCTAGGTTTTTGCAGTGGCCGCACCAGGGCGCATAGAACTCCACCAACCAGAGATCATCGCTGTCCAGCACCAGCTCCTTGAAGTTGCTGTCCGTCAATGTGATAACGTCAGACTGAAATAAAATATTGATTTATACAAACCGTAAAATAAGTCATAGCATAATACATAATAAATCAAAATGAAGCTCATATTGTGATATTGTAATGAAAAAACAGTTTTTCGAAAAGATGAGTGTTATTGTTTTATTTATTTTCTCTGTTAATGAAAGACAGTGGGTATAATTACACACTACTGTAAAACAAATGATGCTTCAAGTTCAACTTTACATAATCAATGTGTGTAGGTCTGTATATCCACAAACCCAGAACCCAGACAATATATAAAAGTTAATTTTTCTAAATTGCCAATATCGGGGAACGTACTTGGATCTCACGGTTCGCGAAATACTAAGCCATGGAGGTCGTCAATGTAAATGAAATAAAACCAACAAAAATTTCCATTCTTATTAAATAGTAATTATAATTAAAACTTGTCTCAGGCCGAAAATAAATAAATATGGTCTTATTACCACATAGTGTCCAATATATACAGTAGATGTATCACAGAGAGTACTAGATAAGTAGACTATTAATGAAAATAAAGGATGTGCTTATTAATAATAGAGGCAAAACTTGCGCAAATCTTTCTTTAGGTCATCAAATCAAAAAACTATCTATAAATATATTATATAACTGGTGATTCTATCATTGACCCCAAAAATCTGATGTGGCCCAATACATTTTATCCACGCGGAGAGTGAAGGGTTGCGTAGGCGCACTCGCCCACATAGGCGACTGATGCACAACGAAAAAATATGAAGGTTACGTTTACACCCACATATGATGATTTCGAAAGTATATTTTAAGTCATTTGTAGGTCAGCACAAATAATATAAAAGTAGGAATAAGTTTCAATCCTGTAAACCTGTGTTATCAATATAAAGTACACATTTATAAATTGATTTCATTGATAGCATGCCACTATGGAATAACTTTAGAACAAACCCAATTAACATTATTATATTTGATCAATCTTGCATCCACAATGCTATACTGAAGAATATTCTTAATGATAGATAGATAAATGCTTTATTGAACCACTATTATCACTACACAATAAAAAATGCTTATAAAAGCCACTTGGTCCCTGGCACCCTGACATTTTAAATTCTATGTCCTTTGGATGAGAGAATGAAATGCAACAGAATTGGTGCAGAATTTAAATAATTTGTGCAGATTATACACATACTTATTTTTCTTACAAAAAGTAAGAAAAATAAAAATATAATAGACAAAAATATTTTTTATACAAATATATGAAATAATTAGATTTCTTTTGATCTTTAGATGGTTATCAGAGTTGTATAAATGTCTCTTCATTCAAACTGATATGATTGTAAAGTTTTTATTTTACTTAAATTTATAATATTACAACAAATATTATACAAGTGGAAACTATTAATTATATCTTTATATCATATCCCTAATGAGGTAAGCAGAGAGAATTAAGCTTCAAGGGCACTGTCCCTTTAAAAATCTTTAGTATCATCCATTTCCATAAATAAACAAGTAATTTTAATAGAATTTCCATTAAAAAACAATTATAAGTCAACATATTTTTCTCATTAAGAATATTTTCTTGTCAACCATAGCCAAAAATATAACAAGAGCATTATATTTGTGGCAGAACCAGATTAAGACCAACAAAAATAGAACATGAGTACACATATAGATAACACAGAGTCAATGATCTTAAATTATAATACTATGCTGATAGATATAAAGCAGCTAGATATAGTTTGGCAATTTAACACTTTTAACAATTTAATTAAAATGGATCAAAATTTAAAATAATATTTGTTGATGAAAAGAAAATATTATATTGATCAAAAAATATTAAATTTACATTGAAATTACATTAAAACATTTTTATAAAACAGAGTTTAAGTCTGACTGGTACTTTTAAATGAGGATTCACCCATCCATACCAAACCCAATTATAATAAGTATAAGTTATAGCATTTATTAAACATTGTTTAATAATAAAGTGATTTATTTATATTTTATAAGGTAGGCAGCACATGTCTTTTCCTATAATTTTTCTTTGAATTGAACAGGGATTTTTTTATTATTAATGGCTCATCTTCATTATAATTTCTTCTACGAAACAGTATGTTTTGATACTTTTCAAAGTCATATTTGGAAATTGGTGTAATTAAATGGGGTTGATCGATTTGTTCCATCATTGGTGTTGTTTTCACTTTTTTCCATGGAATGTTGTGACCATATATCTTTTTCCGATATACCATCTATTTCAATAATTTACGATTATAGTTATAACACTTTTTTAATATTATAATACAATTAAAAATAACAATCTTAGTTATTAAAATTATCTCAACCAAAATATGGTCACTATACATAAATATTTTAAAGACTGTTTCTTGATTTGCATTGCTTATAAAATCAAATCAAAAAGAAGATAATAACATTAAACTTATAAGTATATTGAAGGTATATTTAATATCAAAGTTTAATTTCAACCTGATCTGAATAATTTATATATACATTTTATTACAGAAAGAAAAGCCAGTAATAAAATTTAACTTAGTGGCTTGCTATCATAAATTACATTTAATATGATATATTACTCAATACACTAAACTCATAATGATCCACAAAAACTTTAAGAGCAATTTAAAAATGTGATAAACAGTCAATGTTTAGCCTTTCTTTTTGTGACTTTTATTTTTGTAATATTTTTCAATAATAGCACTGACTTGCTTTTGAAGTTTTACCTTATCTGAAGATGATCCTCCAGACTTCTTTCCAAGGTTGTCATATGCTTTTTCTTTGGCAGCTTTGAGAGCAGCGTCTACAAATGATTCTGCATTTCTTTGTCCTTGATATGGTGTGTTTTTACTGCCTGTGAATATTTTGATTGTAGGGAATCCAGTCACACCATATTTTTGGGATAAACTCTTATGTTCATCTGCATTGACAGCCCCTACTTTAACTATACCCTAGAAGAAAATTTTAAAATAAATAATGTTGATAAAATCAATAACTTTAGATAAATATATATAATAATGAAAAACAAAATGATTCTATGAATATTTCCATATGGAATAGATTACATGTATATAAATATAAAAACTAAAATGTGTACAATGAATTATGTGAACAATTACCTTCAGTGCTCGAGCTGCCTTCTTATATTCAGGAACCAGGTTTTTGCAATGCCCACACCAGGGTGCAAAGAATTCTATAATCCATACTTCATCAGAATTTATTACTAATTTATCAAAATTGCTTGGTGTTAATTCAACAACGTCGGAAGAAGAATCATATAAGCCATAAGATCCAACTGCACAAAATAATAATATACCTGAAAAGGAAAACATAAATTAGTGACGGCAACAATTTAATCGACGCCGTCGCAATAAATTTCACGTTAATATAATGTTATTAAAACATTTACATACCTAAAAGATTAAAATGCATTGTGCGAGGTGCGGCCCGCCGGTTTAGGAGTGTTTTGTAATATATTTAAAATGAATAACGATACAACTACGAAGTTATCTTCTTTTGACGATTTTTGAGTGAGCGGCACGTGGCACAGAAGGAATAAGCGGTTAAGCACTTAAATATAAAATATTAGCGAACGCGTTGTGATTTGAGATCGTGGAAAACAGGGATATGTCAACAACACGTCAACCTTTCTGTTGGACCCGGTATTTTGTCAATGGATTCGTGGATACTTTTCATTGGACAGTTCAAAATTACCGCCGTAAAGCCATGTCATACTTGGTTAATTGCTGTCTGTGGGATATATAAATAAAACTTGTTCCTAGCTTAGGTTCAGCTGTTTGAAAAACTTAGAGCATTGAAAAATACATAATGATAAGAAAAAATACACAGATTGACAACTAAGGCACTTATTTATTCCATTACATACAGACATACAAATAAATAAAATAGGAATGTCTGTTTGTAATATTAAATTTACCGAATTTTAATTATTGCTTATGTCTGTATAAGTTACGCTCAAATAACAAAATAAAAAAAAATGTTCATAACGCGTTGTGGTCACAGTAAAATATCCACTTAACGAGTGTAATGGCAGTAGTTGGGCAGTAGGAACCGAAAGGTGAAGGTGTGGTTCTATTGTATGATGGGATAACTGGCAAGGGAGACTAAAAGGTGTAGTTACCCGGAGGACAGCAGTCCAACCCATAGAGTATATTATATAATAGTTTTCCAAATAATTTATGCGAATTGGTCAATCGTCAACAGAAACATTACAACTAAATACTAAAAAAATGCTTAAAATACGGTGTCATCATTAGCTTTAGAGGTGGAAATAATTGCTTAAAATTTTTAAGTGTTGTTACGTTGTACGATTTTTAATGAGCATTTTTAAAAACTGCTTATTGCTTAAACGCTTTTTTCAACTCAACTGACGTTTAGAAATCGCTATAATAAGCGTGCAACATTGTGTTATCACAACATAATATAAAACAAAGTCGTTTTCTTTGTCCCTATATCCCTATGTATGCTTAAATCTTTAAAACTACGCAATGGATTTTGATGAGGTTTTTTTTTTCATAGATGATTCAAAAGGAAGGTTTTTATGTATAATACAAGAGCACAATGCTATTACCGTTTCTCGACATTTTATTTTACTTACATAGACGTTTAAACATTGCGAAATTCCGAAGAGCTTCATTGCGAAATTCGAAAAATCTCTGTTTGTTGCGAAAAATTGTCAAAAAGTTTGAGTCGCTTGGAACGTTTTAAAAATCAATTAGATAGTAAATTGTATCATTTGAAATATAAAAGTAATACCAATGATTTGTACAAAGATTTCTTTGATGTTTATTGCACAGAATTCAATAACATTTTTCTCCTATAACTTTTAGTGTGTGGGAACTATATGATGAATTTAATTATAACACAAGTGAGGACTTCAAAGAATATGTACGAAATTACTCTAAATTATTAAAAAAACGAAGTTAAAATGTCGTAGAATATTATTAATAGTAAAACTGGAAGGGAAAAATCCCGTAATACAATTTTTTTTAAACATTGCTAATTAAAGCAAAACTAAAACATAAGCAATACAATCACATGGACACGACTAAATCTCTGTCCCAAAACGGTTCCAGCTCAGCATATGCTGGTCTTGTGATCAGCGCTGATCTTCCGCTGAAACCGATCCGGTGAAAAAACACAAACAGTAACACATAACAAAAATACAGTGACATAAAAATACAAATATGTAGCCGTATCGAAAGTCCGGCTGTATGGTAAAAGCTATTTTTCCGTATTATTACTGTTCTCTTTGAGCTATCTCTACGCCTAATCCATAGATGAACACATTAGTATCTATGGTAGTAACTAAACCTTAATCTGTGGCAGTCTGTGGTCTATGGCATTGACGCTTTAACATTTTAATCAAAGTACTTTGTGATTTTATTGAACATTCTATTAATCCTAGTTATAAATATGAAACTTCAACTTCAAACAATCAAATCACCTGACATTAGTAGAACTGTGCGGAGCAGACAAGCCACTATCAAAAGAAGGAGACACTTGTGATTGATACAAAAACTTTTCTACAACAACAATACTTTACGTGTGACAAATTATAAACGCGTTATAAAAGCGAGTTATAAGATCGCTTCAGAGGTCTAATCACAACTCATTACCGAAAACACAAAACATTATTAACTCTGACAAATGGATTGCAAACTTAATGCGGAGAAACAGGAGCAGAGCAAAATGTTCAAAAAGCCATATTCACATAAAGAGACGAAAATTTAAGGTACGCATATCTTTAAAATACACTAGTTTCGTGAGCTTGAGTTTCCTGTGTTTTTTGATGTTGGTTTATGTAATATGTTAGCTTGCGCCTAAAAGTCTTAACACTTTGCAGGTTTCTCAGAGGTGGCGGTATATTATTCCAACACTTTGTGGCCGCATAGCGGAAGCTACCTCGAAAGGCAGCAGAAGCATGACGTTCGGTGGACAACTGCGCACAGACTCTTCGGACTCCATATGCCTTGCAACTAGACTTAAAAGATAACTTGTTAAACAGATAAGCAGGTGCCTCATTCTTTATTATGTCAAACAATAAACATGCTAAATGAAGTTTTCGACGATGTCGCATCTTGAGTATAGAGTGCGCATTTAAAAATGGCGTCACATGGGCCCTCAACGGAATGTAGAAGCAGAATCTAGCACATGCATTTTGAATACGCTGTATTAATTTTTTTGTTCTATTAAGTAAACGTGGACCATACACTGTATCCATATAATTCAGTTTCGATAAAACAAGCGACTCCACTAACTGCACCCGCAATCTCTCGCACAGAAACCGCCTAACCCTATATAACACCTTTAGTTTGTAAAAACAATTTTGTATGCAACTATTAATATGCTTTTCAAACCGCAGATTACAATCCATAATCAAACCCAGATTACGTGCTTCATATACTCTTTCAATTGGATTGTTATTTAACTTGACCGATGTGTTGATACTTAGTTTGGACATCTGACATTTGGTACCAAAGATCATGTACTTTGTTTTAGTGGGGTTTAATAATAAACAATTTTCATTAGACCATTTGTGAACATTTTCTAAATCGTCATTAAGTTTCCCTATTGCATTGTTAATGTGTTCTGGTTTAGAGGATATATATATTTGAGTATCATCAGCATACATATGACATTTGGAGTTTTTAATTTGTGATGTTATATCAGCCGAGTATAAAACATAGAGGATCGGCCCTAAGACCGAACCTTGTGGCACACCCCTACATATGGACACTTTTTCAGATTCCATAGAAGAACCGTCTCCGTTCAATTTCACATATTGGGAGCGATTACTAAGGTAGCTGTCAAACCACTTCACTGCGTCATGGCCAAAACCATAATATCTTAATTTGGATAAAAGGAGGTTTATATTTATTGAATCAAAAGCCCTGGAGAAATCGAGTAAAACAAGCAACGTACACATGCCTTTATCCTGTGCATGCAGTATATTATCAATAACATCAAGTAGGGCAGTGGTTGTGCCATGACCTTTCCTGAATCCTGACTGTACCTGAGGTAAAATATTATTTTTCTCTAAGTACTCAACCAGTTGCATACATACTGCCTTCTCTAAGATCTTAGACAAGCATGGCAGTATACTGATTGGCCTCAGGTCCTTAACATCTACCGGGTTAGTGGTTTTAGGTAAAGGAAGTACTATTGCCTGTTTCCACATATCTGGATATGTACAGGTAGTGATAGACTTGTTTATAATATCTCTGATTACATCCAGTGTATGTGGTAGGGTCTTCATAATCATATCCAAGCTTATGGAATCACTTCCCAGTGCATTGGACTTTAAGCTATTAATTATTTTTATGGTTTGATCCAAACTGATGGGTTCTAAATGAAATATAGAGTCAGTGAATCTATTATACTCATAAAAAGTCATTAATGAAATAGTCACTTCTGATGGACCCAAAACTTTCATAAAATGATTATTTATAGCAGTTGGATTATTGAAACATGCTGGTAAATTACAATTTTTCTGGGGTAAAATAGTGTTCTTGAGATTTTTCCATAATAGTTTTGGGTCATTTATTTTACTATTTATGTTATATTTAAAATAGGCTGTTTTTTCGTTAAATAATGCTTGATTAACTAATGATTTCAGAGATTTGTAGTAATCAATTGAACAGTTTGGTCTTTTTTTGTGATAGTTGACTAAGGCTTCATCCCGGAGCTTCATCATTAGTTTGACCGTGTCTGTTATCCAAGGAGGACAGCATTCTCTGACGACAATAGATTTCTCTGGCGCAAAGTGATCAAAAATAGTAAGCATATATGCACTAAACATATTAACCATTTCATCAACACTGTTCAGATACCTAATATGATCCCACATTCCCTTCATATTATTTAATTGTTCACCAATCACATCCATACTGATGTTATTCATTGGTCTATATTTTATGATTCGTGGAGGATTTTTTTCTCGCTTGATGTTAAGTTCGCAAACCAACATGCAATGACCAAACAGCAACCCCACATGGTCAGAGATTATGTTTTTAATATTGGAATCTGTACACACAACATCAATTAATGTCTGGCTATTTGCAGTGAAGTGTGTTGGGCCAGAAATCAGCTGTGTTAAGTGGAAACATGTTAAAAAGTTATTGAATTTCATTGTTTCGGTGCTATGACTTTGTAATAAGTTGATATTGAAATCACCCAGCAACACCAGATTGTCACAGTTGGGAATCGAACTGATAGTGTCTGATATCGCGTCAAAAAACAAATCAATGCTCACCCAGGGTGGCCGGTATGCAGTACCTATAATTAACTTCCTTCCGTTAAGGGTCAAGGCGAGCCACATCTGTTCAACTATTCTGTGTAAAGGGTCCACCGGATGAGGCCATACTCGCAAATTAACGCCTCGCTTGATATAGAAGCCTACACCTCCCCCACGTGTACGCAAATTTCGAGGGCGCGGGATATGCCGCAATCGGTATCCCGGGAGCGCAGGCGCACGGCCCTCCTCGTTCTCTTTTAGCCATGTCTCATTTATTGCCAGTACATCTATGTCATGCCGCGTCACTGCGGCCACAAAGTTGTCGTGATTAGTTCCGAGGGAACCCGCATTATATAGTCCAATTTTTACTCTTCCCTTAATCATTTGTCAGT